CACCCTATTCTCCGCTTGTTATTATTCGTAGATGGCACATGTGGTGTAATTTGCATACTTGGACCGGTTTTTGGCGTTAACGTTAACGAACTTTATGCTTAATGTGAATCGGGTAATCGTACCACTTTGTGTAATTTTCTACTTGCACTTGGATTTATTTCCCCAAGTGGAACATTAGTTAACGTAGTTGGAAGTAATAGGAAAAAGCAATTGTTGAGGGCTCCGGCATGTTGTCTAGAACCACGCCTAGGGCACTGCGACAATCTCCGCCGAATACGTTACCATGTGTTCCCGCAAAAATAAAGACCGTAGTGGAGAAGGCACAACCGTTTACTAGACAGTTGAACCAAGTTGTGTCCATCTACTTTTACGGTTGAGTGGACATGTAAAAATGAACACAGGCGTCTGTGAGGTCACATGGTCAAAGCAGGTGGTGGTGGAACATTCAGAGGAATTAATGAACCAGCGACCTCACGTGACTGATGGGCAGGTCGTGAAAGGAGGGGAAGTGTGCTGGAAGCTACGAGGACTGAGTTATTGGACGTGAATCAACACGATTCACTACACACTAAAACTTGTTCAGATTCCTCTCATTTAGAACGAACTGATTCGTCCGTTCCTCTTTTTAGCTATGTTAAATTATTACCACCGCTGATGCGTATTAATAACCTGTTCCTAAATTGACGAACTTCAGCAAACTCCTCAAAGTCATTCATCTCTACACCAATCCACTACTGCCCAAATTACAAAAGGGAGATTCAGAAGGACCAGAACTACCAAATCCTTTAGTTGTCAGTAGCGTGTACAATACGTGTACCCAGTGTAGCCTTGCACATTTTCAAAGCCACTAGACTAGGCTGTGTCGTCTGTGAGTAAGTGAATATGTAAAAATCGCAAGTATCAACAATGGATCGGTGTTAATGGCACACGTAACGTGATGGCGACGATCAGGGAATGTAGACACGGCCAGATGGTCAAAGGAGATTTGAGGGAATAGTAATAATTAAGAAGAGTATAGCATTTGCAGAAGTGATTAGTGAGATCTGACAAGATTTCCCGATGCTCCCCTACTTAACTAAGTGTCATGCAGAGAAATGATCCGGCCAGTGTATCCGTCCACTCGGGTGTACGACCGTGCTCGTCGGCTTATAAATGAGTGCGCTGATGTTGGCTTGGCCCAGAGTTGTTACACATCCAAAAATCTCCGCTCAAGGAAATCTGTAGATACGGCTTTTTTTCCATCGTGCGCTGGACATATTGCATCGATTCTTGTAAACATTTACGCACATGTGGCCAACATTGTCAAAAGTCGGTATGCTAAGGCAAATTGAACCGACTGAGGTGAAACTTGCTCATGATCCCAGGTGAAAAAACATTGGAGGCATGATGGTTTTTCAAATATCTTAGAACACGTCAGTGAAAACTGTTCTGGCAGTGTTAATGCTGTTTCTTCGGAAAATCTGGCTTCTTTCTCTGCATCCGACTCAATTCTGAGTAAGAAATTCGATGACATTTCCATTTAGCGCCCAAGTTCGAATAAATTGTTTTATGGTGCCTTCATTTTGGCGCTGAAACTTTTGCATGGCCATAAGCCTGAAGAGTGTGGCTGGCGCCCAAAGGTTTAGTGTAATTTAATCAGAAGGTTGCAGTCTTTTGGTCTTTAATGGAGGAGGAAAGAAACCAAAGCACGGAAACCTATCCTTTAACAAACATTTACGACATTATTTGTAGTGGAGAGTTTTTACAAAAAAGCGCTTTGTACCCAGGGGAAACCATTATCGCAAGTCAACAGGTCCTGGGAATTAAGTTGCAACAAGGGGATTTGTAATGCAAAATAGATTGTCTGAGTCTAACCACCAAAGATGCCACAGTGTGTGTTGGCCAGTTGTGCTGCAAATCTGCTGAAAAGCAGCACCTGCGGTTTTAAAGTAGATGTCAGCCAATCAACCCAGAAGACATTGCGGTTGATAGTTCTATTTGCACAATACGCTTTAATCAACAGATTTCATTTTTAAAGGATCACAGTGTCACTACAGCTGCATTTTGAATATTAGACCGTTCCAAAGGAAGTCTGTGATATAATCACACCAGAATTGATAAAGAAAATACAGTTATTCAAGGCAGAATAAGATAAAATGGTGTAGCGAGATGTAGTGACCGCACATGCGGAGGTAATAAGGTAATATGCCCTGGATCAGAAGATTTGTCCAGGCGCGCATTTCGCTCCTGTCACAGTTCTTATTTTGTTGCACTGACTGTTACGACTATTTTTTTACTATCCTCAGTGACTCCATCACATTAGTTTGCCAGTAGCCAAAACCACGCTCAAAGAGCTAGTGCGCAATCTCTTGCTTAACGCAAAACCCTCATTTCCAGTCCAGAACAAGACATTGTGCTGAGAACTTTTACTGTCAGCCAAAAGCCCAGTGACATGTTAGAATTGGTATCCTACACATGCATTCGCTGACCTTGATATGATGGCTTAATACTGGTAAGAGCCCTCAGTGGGGGCTTTAGAGATGATGCGGCCAAATGAAGTGGGGGCATAGGATAAGGTGCATGAAGCGTGACAAAATCTAAATCTCATTGGGAATGCTGATTTCCTTAACCCACCTCGTTCAGCTTGCCACATTTGTATTATTATACGCTACAGTGGGTGCTAGCCATATCTGACTTTGATCAAGCGCCAAACTATGCAAATGAGACCCCGCCGCCTTCAAGCTTTTCTCTGAAGGTTTCAAGTTTTACCGAGCAAAGAAGTTAATTAAAGACATGGCATATTTATTCTGGGATCAATAAACACGAGATAGATGTCACTCTCGTAGAATTACACGGAACGAAATGGGACAAAGACAATCATTCAGCCGTTTACCTGACAGTATATATAACAAATCGAATTTAGCGGAGGCATATCTGATCAGATTTTGACAGATACTTCATTTATTAAAATTGCCGCAATTATAATATGTCGAACTTCTGCCTGCTAATGGGTTGGTTTGAAGAGATTTGGAAATTTTTGTAAAAATTAAATAAAACCTTGAAAAAAGACATTGGGTACGTGGTTGGTTCAAAAGGAGACCAAAGTATTTTGAAAAATACTTTCAACAATAAGCGCGAAATTAATCGTGAATATGGCTTCAAATAAGGCAATTCATCTACCCACAAACGTTTTGCCACTGTTTCGGAAAAGCATCCTGAAATCGGGTGAAATTTAGAGATAATGGAAACCTCAGGGTACGAAAATGGTTCCACAATATCAGAGACGTTAAGTTGCACAAGGGAGTCTTGCTCTGTTTTTATGACCAGGATATTTGGCAATTTATGCAATTCCGCTCTTACACATCATGATTCATGGTAGGCCACAAATAACGTATTGACTTTGGCTTTCTTGTTTACTATCGACCAGTATGAGCAAGACCGTGAAGAACGTGGAACGCTTGGCAGTGCACCGGTTATGGAACGAAGGGTCCATGCACGCCGGTCAAAATATCATAGACAATGTCCATATTATGGTCGCCTCTCTGCTGAACTTCTGCATCATGAACCACAACGGTGTTTGCACTGACATATTCGCATGCTTGATCAGGACGCAGTAAAAAGGCAGGAAATGTGTCGACGTATGCGATGACAGAGTTTTTGGACAATAATGTGCACGAATATGCGCAGTCCAAGAGAATTTAATCCAAATTACCAGTAACCTAAAGGTTTTGAAATCTGAAGAGCACTGATTGTTGGTTAGGCCATCAAACAAAGTCCATTATGAAGGTTGACCTAGTTTCCTTTGGGCAAATCTCTCAAACACTAGTAACAATATTATTAGGCAATCAACAATGGGGTATTTCAATGGCTATGGAACATCTGCCCTTTTTTCATTTTTATGACACCTCACTGACATCGAGTAACATGGATTACGAGAACATTTTATGCGACATGTACACCGCCAACTTTCGCGTACTAAGGTAAGAAACGGAATGTAATAACATGTTTCAATGTAGAATATTGCTGCGACCAAATTGCACCGAAGAAAATATAAAAGAACATTAATTAACCCCTATTTGCTAGAACTGCAAAGCCAAAATTATGCCGGTAATCTAGAAAGACACGAATGTGAAAAAATTCTAACAATCTAAACGTTTTTCTTCAAATACTTTCTGCTAAAATAATTTATAAATTTAGTCAATGAAGAATAATTAAAGTGAATGGACTTGAGTGTGTAGAATGTCCTCTGTTCATAGGGATGCTTAACAAATAGATGAAAATTTTACATGCAAGACAGTCTACCTAATTACAGCTAGAACTAAGATTTTATATTAGGCGAAAGTTAAAATTGGTTTAAAACACCGGGAAATTGATGTCTAAATGGTAAATGCAGTGAAATGTTTAAGGTGTTCTTGATCACTTAATTAAGCAGTGATTTGTTATTGTTACAAGAAGATACTGTTGTTTGTTGTTGTTTTAATGTGTTGCTGCGTAAAGATTAACCTCTGTTACTCCACAAAAAGAAGCGCGGTTTTATAAACCCTGCAGTGTATATTGGCTACGAAAAGTTTGTATCCAATAAAAATCATCGACCTCAATTTTGACGAATAAAATTACAGCCAATCCTGAGTTTGGTACACCGATTGGTTATGAAGTGAGGAAGAAAGTTGTTGTGTTCATCGTCAAGTTTGAATTAATAATCAGTTTGAGATGTCAACGGAAAATTTGGGATACAAACATTTAAACCTAAAAGGTGTTATTGGATTCAATGGTGCAATACTATTGGTTTTTTTATTAGCAATTAGGTACTGTTGAAAACTGTTTGAATATTCATCCTGATCGACAAAACCTTGTGTACGCGCTGGGTTGCACGGTGGTCATTGAGGATTTGAACAGTCGAAAACAACTACTTTTGCAGGGACACACAAGCAACGTTATTTGCTTGGCCGTTTCTCACGATGGCTGTTATATAGCATCTGGTCAAATTACACATTCTGGTTACAAGGTCATTCTTTATCGTAATGCCTTATACCGTTGTAGGCCGATATAATTCTGTGGGACTATGAGAAAAAAAAGGCGATAACTCGGTTTGTATTACACAAAGTTAAAGTTCAAGCACTGGTGTTCTCTCCAAATTCAAAATATTTGGCTAGCCTGGGGGGACAGGACGACGGTAGGTATGTCTTTTATTATCCTGGTATCAATATTAGTGTTGTGCTTTGGTCTTTGTCCAAAAACAGTGCGATATGCGGCAGTCCTGCGCAGATGTCGAATTCAGGAATCACTCGTTCTCTTGCCTACTCAAACAGGAACGACGACTTATTTTTTACTGGGGGAGAGTAAGTCTGAGCTCTTTTAACGAATTTCTAACAGGTTGAACCTGCGGATTTGGCGGGCAGACGTCCCAAATAGGAAGATTCGCCCGACGGATTGTGATCTTCGGCAGTACAAGAGAACTATAACCAAAGTTGTCGTAAGTTGTCCGGACATTTCTTTCTGTCCTATCACCAATAATAGAGCATGAAAATTTGAACGAATCAAGATGGCTATTTGATTAGTAAAAATATTAGAGATGCTATTTTTGTGCCGAATAAGTTGGTTTGTTTTTATGCGGTTCATATGCTGCATGATTATCTGATCCCTTATGAGAAATTACACAAAATATATGGGTTAGTGCCATCCATAAAAAGAGTAATGACACGGAGACTATTGTGTGGAGATCATTAAAAGGATTTGTGACAGTTCTGTGACGAAATAAATAGCTTCAAGGAGCAACAATTTCAAACATTCTTACAAATGTGTGGGGGAAAATTGTGAGTAGTAACACAACATAACATATCAGGACACTAGCAAGCCCTTGAAAATCATAGTGTCGATCATCACCAATTTGTAGAGGACTGTAACATAAATGACAATTTTGAAAAAAAATATACTTAAATATAAATTGGGTCAAAAATGTTTCTACATTAAAAATGACCAACAACTTATTGCGTTTGTGCTTTATTATTTAACACTTACTAACCGAATTCTAAACGGACAGCAATATAGAAATTTAGACACGAATTTTTATTCATGCTGTTGAACATTTGAGGCATCAGCCTCTCTCTCACATAAATAATGTTATTCCTTTGCAAATGGAGTAAAACTTCACAGAATACCTAGTAAAAATTGCAAGATGGCTGAATTTTTAGCAACTAGAAAGTTTAAAACCCCAAACGTCATTATCTTGTACAGAAACTGACCAATTTCCCGGAACGTGTTCACAGAATGTTTGACTTTGTACTGCTGCAACTAGTCCCTCAGCTTTTTGGAAATTGTTTGCCTCTTTCGCAAAATCGATATATTTTTGCTGACTTGAAGGTGGGATTTGTTGGTGAACGAGGAAGAGGGAAGTCTACCTCCTTCAAACCATAGATGTTTAAGTTATATAATCGGCTCAACGCCGATGAAGCATCCTGATTCGCGAAAGAAATGTAAAATGCCTGTCAAAAAGCCCCCTTACAGATGTTTACTGGGATTTTTTAGTTATAATTGAGTCAACAGGGGCATGTTTGTATGCAGGAACTGTTTGTGCATATTTATGCCTAAATTGGACTAATCCTAATATGTTCACTGGTACAAGGATAGTTGGCCACTATACTACTACAGAAAACTTCATTCTTTTTTGTTAGCGTTACCCAGATTTTAAACTTATTTTCTGTGAATGCAATGTAATTATTATTTTTTTGCTCTGCATATCCCTATTTATTGGTGTGTTGAATAATTGTCATGGCAATGAACTTTAACTTCTAACCGAGGAATCGGTACCTCAGAAGAGCATTTCCTTCTCATTTCAGGCCGACAACCAAGATGAAATGTTGTTCTGTGCTACAACATCTGGTGACATCTTGGCTGTTAGGATTAGCTCAGCACTGGTTCAGCTTATTTTTCCAGAACGGGAAAAATATAGCCTAGGGATAACGTCACTTTGTCTTGTTGATGATTCTTCTCTCATAATTGGGACAGGCGAAGGCACGGTGCAAATGCTGAACATTGGACACCAGGCTCGACGAATGAACTGTGAATTGATCCTACAAAAGACCTCGTAATCAACTCATTAATTTCTTTTTTTAAAAATAATTTAGACATTATATCACCTGTTGAATTGTAGACAGAAACGATCGGTCATGGGTGCTGTCACGTCGATATCGCTCCGGGGAGAAGGTCATCAGTTTTTCGTTGCAACAGACAAAAGCCACATCTACCGTTTTGATGGCTCAACCTTCAACCACGAGCTCATTACATCCTGCCACTATTCACCGATTAATGGTGTTAGCTTCCCTGAGTACGTTTTTTTTATTTTCCCTTGCATGCTGACTCAACAGTCTACATCCTAAGTGACGAACACATTTCTTTTGGTGATTTAGAAACTGTTCGGAACTATTTGCGACATGTTCATTTCAAGACATCAGGGTGTTCCACACGTTGACTCAACAAGAACTTTTGCGTATCAATATTCCTAATCTGGTCTGCTTCAGCATTGACATTCTCAAGGACGGCACATCGATTATTTCAGGTAAGTAGTATTCGGATGTGCTTTTAATTTCACTCAGATGCTGCGGAAAGACATATACTTTTTGCTTAAATTGACACATTTTTGAGTTTGATATGAACACCCAAAAGAACTCCTGGTTGAAAATTGCATCGACCAGGTCCTCCAGTCCTAGACATCAGATAAGAGTCGGAAGGAATTCACTTTTGGCTAATCAGCGACACTTAAATGAATTTGAAGCGTTCCGATCTTGTCATACAGTAAAAGCGACTGTGTTGAACAAATAAGTGATAGTGTAATTTTACTCAACATGTATTGTCCCTTGTGAAGAGCCTAAATTCGACAGCCTTGTAGGTTGCTTTCTACACCTGTGTAAGAAAAGAGATGAGATTTTCAAATATCCAAAAATAAATTTTAATTAATTCCCGTTTGTTCTTGAGTAACCAAAGCCGAATGAGTAAATGAGCACAAGGTGGATAACTGATTCGAGCAATGTTAATGTCTTGTCTACCCTAGGCTGGGATGACAGTAAGATACGTGCTTTCTACCCCGAAACTGGTCGACTGATGTACACGGTTAACGATGCGCATAAAAAGGGTGTTACTGCGGTTGCCGCGACATCCTGTGGGACCCGCATCATCTCTGGTGGAGGAGAGGGCCAAGTGCGGGTCTGGGAGCTCCGTGAGTCGCTCAACAAACAGACCAAAAACTTCGGGCCCCACTGTCATCGATCGAAGCCCAAGGGCGGTGATGGAGAAGCGCCTCACTCGATATTTATCACTAAATTACTGGCTACTATGAAAGAACATGCAAACACTGTCTCGTGCATTAAGATTAACAAAGACGACACGGCCTGTGCTTCGTCGTCTGCCGATGGCACTTGCATTGTTTGGAGTTTGGTGTGAGTTTGCATTTTCAATTTCGCGTGTCCATATTCCTTAGCGCGGTAACAGCAAGAGGAGGAAAGTAAATTGCCAACGATTCCAGTTTGGCACGTAAGAAATGCCTCATTTAAAATAAACGTCAGCACTTAACAGCGTGTTTTATCAATCTACATTTTTAGAAAAACTAGTACCGTAGATGTGCATTCTCTTAAGATATTTTATGATTTAATTAGAAATTTTAAAGTCTCACGGTATACGAGCCTACCTCCTGTGAAGAATTTGCACTTCCGGCTAATTGTCATTTCTTACCGAGAAGCAGCAACTGGACATGAAAGTATCAGAGGCTCCCCTTTTGGATCAAACTTGAACCCCTGAAAATCACTTTGATAGATTAGTCTGTAAAGGAGATGGTTGCAAACCGGTGTCACAATTACAGCCAATTGCCGTATTAAGGTTCGCCGAAGTTTACTACATTCTGACTTTAAATTTTCCTATTTGCTCATTTTCAGGGAATTTACACGTTTGCAAATTATCTTCTCAAATACGCTGTTCCGAGTGGTGTGTTTCCACACCAGTGAGGTGCAACTGTTGACCGCTGGAACAGACCGCAAAATCGGCTACTGGGAGATGTACGACGGTTCGCAGATTCGTGAACTGGAGGCCTCTCGGTCCGGCTCCATCAACGGAATGGACCTCACCAGAGATGGAAATGTTTTCGTCACTGGCGGTGATGACAAAATCGTTAAGGTATGCATTCGGCTTTCGGCAGATTATTACCAGTAAAACATGAACACTTTTTATAGAATATTTTTGCAATGCGGTAGATACCTACACTTCAGGCAGCTTTTCTAAAGCACAAGTTGTCTTTTTATACTAAACAGCAAAACTAACAATGGTTTCCAGGACGATATTTCATCAGTCTCCAAATTTGTTTGGTCAGAAAAAAAATATCTTTGATGGTCTGAATACCACAACACTTAATTACCATTTCCTTTGTATCGTGTTTTTGAGTGAAATAGTTCAAAACAGATCCTAGTCTGCTACTAAAATAAATTAGTAGGAAGTCTAAATTGACAGCAAAATCGGCATCGGATTTGATTTGCTAGTAATGAAGCCTGCCCGCCTATTTCTCGTTAGTTTACTTCGGAGAGAACCCCTGCTCAATCTCGAATGCCCAAAAGGTGATTTATAGCGAGCATATTAAGATAAATCTCTTATTTGGGAATCTATCTCAAGTTGGTTAGAAGATGAACAAACAAACATTTTGGATTAACCAAACAAAGCCACGACTTGTTTGTGTTACCTCCAGATGACGTCCTCGATCAAGACAAAAGCTAATATTTGTTCAAACGTTTTTGAGACGAACTGAGCATTTAGGTGAGACGGGCGGATCAGAGAGCAGCTGTGGTTCGTTGAGAACCCCTGCATGTGGTCTTGGACCACACCGGGGCCGCCACGTTGTTGTATTGGCCCGATCATGTTGCACATACACACACGGGAAGATCAAGACGACCAAAGACGGCGAAGACGCAACCGTTTATTGGATGGTTTAACCTAATTAGGGTGTTATCGTGTGCCTATACGCGTTCATATTCGTGGATGATCAATGAATTTATTGACCCATACGGTTTTGGTGACCTTGTAAAAGTACAGGTGGCTGAACGGCCAGATGAATGGAAAGGGCGGTGGGGGTGGCACTTGCACGGAGGCGTACGACCAGACGCTGCCACATGACTGATCGGCAAGCTGTGAAAATGAGGTGGGTTGTGGAAGGATGCGGCCGTTAAGGATATCCGCGATGTCGGATTTTGGGTAAAGGGATAGTTATGTTGCAGTCAACAAAGTTTTTCCAAGAGAGAAAGACGACAAATGTCACTTCCAATAATTTGGCAAACTCTTCCAATGGAGACTTTAATTTAACCTTAAGGTAAAAGAATGGGCTCGTGTTTACGCGGCATTTAAATTTTACCGACCAAAATACTTCTGGCTAAGATATCAATTGTTAAATTTCCGAGTTCATCGCATTCCTGTTTACCAGTTTAGAACATTCAGAAATGCTTTCCAAGATGACCATATTGAAAGTAGCGTAACATCAGTGAGGCGTAAATGAGGGTTCTGTTACCTAAAGTTGTGCACACATTTAGAAACAGACGTGGCCCGTCTACACACTCAGTTCCCTAGCTGATTTATTGTGTCGCGGATTTGAATAGGCAAACGGTTCGCATTTCTAAAATAACCACACATTTGCATACCGCGCTGTAGATATAATCATAGGTTGACCTAGGTTTAGGACTGCATACTCTTAACATTTGTAAACATTATGTTGTGATGCAACGCAATGTAGTCACTTTTCAAGGCTGCAATTGCATTTTACGGACAGTGAGAGGTGGTGCATTTTTCGCATTTGCGTGTGTATTTTTGGATGCTTCGCGGGCTGTCGCAATAGTAACATAAATCAAATTACGTGGAATCGATTGTGTAAACAGCTTACTAGCGGAAGAAACGGCCCCTGGATGCCGAATGCTTTGTCTTGAGCACAAGTAGGTCACCTAAGCCGACAAGAGGAATCACATTCATTTTAAATTATTAAGGAAAGCACGACATGTAGAGCAAAGCATCGCAGCCTTTTTATTTCATAAAGTTGGGTCCAATTTCCGCAGTTGCCACGACGAGTCAAACAGAAACTAAAAAAGGGTTAGATTAAGAAAATCCAATGGAACCCTAGCCTAGAATACGCGCGCTTAAACCAAGGTATGCTGTAGGCCTTGTGGAGAGCATAATTTAAGTACTTGGTTTTTAATTCTACCTAGGTTTGGCGCTACAATGAAGGCGACGTAACGCACATTGGGCTGGGGCACTCGTCTCCCATCACACGACTGAAGATTTCGCCTGACCAGAAACTAATCATCACAGTTAGTGAAGATGGAGGCATTTTCATTTGGGATTTCCCACCGCAAGAGGCTTTCGATTCCGTCCATTAAACCATCCACGGTGTCTGATATTTCCATTCCTCAATTTCTGCGTATTGCAAACGTTATCAAAGTTATCAAATTGCTGTATTCAAGTGTGTGTTGGTCAGTTTACTAAAAATGCCCAAACCGTTATGTTGGTCAGAAAGAAGATCATTTAAGAAGCATTCGCACTGACAACGTGGAAAGGTTTCACAATTTATCACATTCCTCTAGACGCGAACACGAATACTGATTGCAAAATTACCACACATTACCAGCATCTTTAAATGCAACGCACCACCAACTAAGGAAGAAATCTTTAAGTGGTTGATCGTTGATCCTGCCTCAAAATACTGAGTCTGTATTTGAATACACGAGTAGTTTACCGTGGATAACTAAGTAGTGCCTCTGTTAATTAAAATAAAATTCCCAATACTTTGGTTTTGACACTTTTAGGATTCCAAACCAGGTTCCGTTTTGTACCAGTAATGGAAATCTCCCACTCCAAAAATGTCCAATATCAATCTTCCTATTACCCAATTTTCCAACAGCAGGGGAGAACTTGGGACGATGCAGCCAAAGTACTTTAAAGCAACGTGTGTTTAAGATCACAGCAATGAAGTCATACGTTCAAATGAACACACAACCAAGACAGAAATAAAAAGTAAAAAAAGTTGGATCAGGCGGGAGCATTAAAATAGATAGTGAATTTAAGGAAATCGATCATCATCAGTGGTAACCTGTTGAAAGTGGTTGCAGAACTCAGCTAAAAGCTAAATAAAATTGCGAACCTGTTAGCCGAATAAGCAGGAATGCCATAAATTTGAAATGCGAAACAATGCTCATTACAATCCGAACCTATTTCCTCCCGACCATTTGATTCACACACAATGAAGATTGCGTTAGAACGTGAAGACAGATATGCCTGATAGCGTTGTCTTGCTTGAAGCAACTAATGCTCACTATCTTCCATCGTAGCCTGACAATCCGCTTACGAACATCACCTTATTTGATAGTCGTCGCATAGTATTTAAGCAATGAACCTGTTAGAAATCTATATTGAGCTGGTCAATTTTAAGCGTAACTGTTTGACTCTGTCAGTTTTGTTGATTTAATTACAGCAATAGCACTGAGACCTTCGCAACGACGTCATCGGTTGATGTGTCGCCGACTATGCGTAAACAAGACGGTGCGTGTTTGAACCACGCCAGCATATGGTCCATTTTGGTGTGACACCGGTTTACGCTAACTTCTAGCGTTAATTTGACGTTTACATAACTTGGCTAACACTTGGCTCCGTTGTTAGGTCGCACGGTGGACTTAAATGGTATCTTGTCGCTTAAAGGAAAAGACTGAACTACACCTAACGTGTTGTCTTCATTTTACCAAAATGACCACGGAAATAGACGAGAAAATTTGAGATGTTGTCCGTGGCAAGGTGAAGAAAAAAATTCGTGCAGGTGAATCGACTAGCTAATATCTAAATTTCTAACCGTTCACTCTCGTTTGCTGCCAAACTTTGACGACTCACCAGACATGACCCCAGTATAATCTAATTTGCGTCAAATGTTAGCAACATTGTAATTTCAAATGTACGTAAATATGACATCGGTATGCTAGAAATTATTTCAACAGGTATGATTTTACGCAAACTTTGTCTTTTGAAACCTTCGCCTCACAATTAAAAGTGAAGTCATAGGATAAAGCCCTCACATGTCATGACAATTTTCATGCTAGCCAAAAGGGTGCGTTATAAATATCTAGCATAATAAATTGTTGATAATTTGAACTGCACTTATCAGCTAGACGTGCACTTATACAACACCAAAAGAATCAGGTCACCTTGGTCTGGGCCATGGGGACTGTTCATACCTTAAACATCACCTTAGCAGCTGTCAAGACTAAATGAAACCTGTGGTTGTGTCATCCTTCAATCAGCAATTGGCTACCCGGTGGCTCTGGATTTGCGGTGGTAAGCTGAAGTCGGTCTTCATCTAATGAAAATCTAAGCTATGTCGAATTACCTTCACTACTGACTAAACGATGCAAGATTACTTGATGTCAGTTGAATTGCCTTAGGGCAATATCCGCAATTTAACCATGGTCAGGAGGAAACACGGGCTGTTTTTGCAATTCGAGCAAATACTTTAGTGCCGCTAAATGGCGAACTTTTGGTTTAAGCAAAACTTGTGCACCGAAGAGTTTCTTACTGAAAATTGCCCACCTGGAGCAACAGAAAGCCTTGGACGCCCGGTGAAGATTTAACCGCATGGCCCCTCATCTAAAGCGGAAATTCGGCACTCCTATGGTCTGCAATTTGGGGCTCGCGTTAAAAAGAAAAAATGCACCTCGCTGGTAGCCCTGGCGTTAGGTGCAGTGGGAATTTAGGGATTGAGTGTTAGTCATCCACGTTGCCTGTTTGTTAAACTCGTTTAACCATCCTCGCATAAAACGCACGCAAATGGGTCGTTAAAAGGCCAAAATACGTTGTCTCGTTTACTCCTTAGCATTATAAACCTAGACAGATCAATCATACCATAGAAATAATACGAGTTTTATTTAGAGTCAAGAAAGAGGCAGACGGACTAAATCAGAAGCAATATAAATTGGAGATTAAATTAGAGTAGAGGTTAATAGGTAGGGGCGGTGATTAAAAGAATGCCAAAAGCGAAGGCAGGGAGCATGAGTCCCCGTCTCTAGGTAGACTTTTTGTTGTTTTTAATGAAGGCAATGAGGCCATTTGTTGAGGCGTCATGGGAGGTTATCACCTTGTCCGAGTGAAGTTCTGGCTGAAGCTTCTTTGCCAATTCCTTCCCCAACTCAACACTGAAAAAAAGGATGATGAAGCAGCGTTTAGTTAGGAGGGACGTTGAAGTCAACTTCGGAGGTTTACGATTCAATTGGGATAGTTTCTTATCAACTGACATGAAAATTAAGAGCAACAGTGCGCTTCCATAACAATCTGACCCAATCAACAAAACCCGATTTTGTGTGCTTGTAATTACTTTGTTAATTTGCCACGAAGATACACAACCCGCCAACTCAAAGTTACTTATTTGAGAAACGGACTTGAGTTTGATTTGACACCTAGGGGATCGTCCACACAGCCACTTAGCATGAGTTGCGAGAGACACACTAAAGCTCTCTGTAGGTTTAAATAGTGCCATGGAATTCACACTAGTTGCTTTGTGTGTAGACAAAGAAAGTAGGTATAGAAAACCAAGCACAATGAGAGACAGCCCCGGCTTTGAACACACAATGGTCGACAGCACTTGTTTTCAGGGAGTTCAAAAAAGATGGCGCCAATTAAAAGTTGATGATGGCTGCAACACAAAACTCACCCCCATTGGTCGTAAGAATTAATGTTCCATATGATGCCCTGCGTGAAGATCTTGTGCTCATACATCGCCACGAGAACACCAAGCATGAAGGGGTTGAGTTCACTAAAGAGTATTGAGTTGGTGGGCTTGTTTCCTCGGAAGGTCTTGTGCTTCACGAGCATCTCCAGCTTTTCGCCGGAAAAGCCTTGAGCAGAAAGCTCTTTGCGAACTTGTTCCGGCGACTTGCCGATCATCAGAGCTTCAGTCTGGGCCAGGAAGTTGGAAAGTAGAATCTGCAACAAGCAAAATCAGTGTCAAAAAGGTACGTTTAACTGCAGCAGCGTGGACAAAGAAATCGGGTAAATTCCAAATTTTAAGAGTCTAAGTGACGAATTCTAGCGAATTTTATAAATATAAAACCAAGGTAAAGTCTGGACAATCTGTTGAAGACTTGTAACCAGACCTGTGTGAACGACAAACTAAAGAATAAACTATTTTTGAGCGTGACAGGTGCTGATATCCTTCGATAAATAGCTGAAATAAGAGAAGAAACCACATCGAGGTGCTGTGCCGTTGATAGTAAACACTTTGATATCATGTATGTATTATGAAAGTGAGACCAAAGTATTCTGCATTAAATTCTACTCCAACTAGATCAATTTTTGCCCTGAAGTAAGTCTTGGAAATACCTGCCTGGCAGAAAACAAAAAACACCAACCTCGTGAAACTCGCCACCCTTGATGGGATTCTTAGAGCGAACAGGGGCGAGGAAGTCGCAGGGGATCATGCGAGTACCTTGATGAATGAGTTGGTAAAAGGCATGCTGGCCATTAGTGCCAGGCTCACCCCACACGATGGGCCCAGTGTTGTAGGAAACGGCGACGCCATCACGGGCAACATACTTGCCATTCGACTCCATGTCACCCTGCTGGAAGTAGGCAGGGAAGCGGTTCATGTACTGGTCGTAGGGCAATATGGCCTGCGTTTCTGCGTTGTACACATTTATATACATTACACCAATCAGACCCAGAAGAATAGGGATCTACAAAAGACGCATAAGAATAAACTATTAGTGAGTACGGTCGTAAAAAGGAAACGGAAACAATATACGGGTGTGCAGCAAGTAGGCACAAAGCAGCAGTGAAGGTGCGCCGTGAGGGACCAAATAAACACGAATCCTAATACCTCATACCTTGTTCTCTTGGTGATAACTTAAGATTTCAAGAACGCTCACCAGAAGGGCTGAACTGCCCAACAAAAATTAAATGTTAGGTAAGTAGAACGTAGGCAGCTTGGAAACGTGTAACATCTGGACACGCGTAAATCGACGCCTTACGCGTTCGCACATTACAACCGTGGAGAAATATAGAACTTCTGTAACCACTGTTATGATAATATACATGAAAGAGATTTCAATAGGTTGGAATAAATTTCAGCAAATTATAGAAAAGTGTAAAAAAACTAGACCACTAGACGGAAACCGAAATACAGAAGGGCAAGGGACTCACATTTCTTTCAATTGGGGCCTCCTTAAAGTGCTTGTCCATAGCATGGGCACCTTCAAGGAGCCGCTCAAAGTTGTCCATTCCTTAAAAATAGAACGCACCATGAGAATGTGGCTTACATGGTGCCTAAGAAAAACATCCGCTAATTAAACTCGTGAACCTGTGAGGCAAAATGTGGTCAAAAAGTTACGAACGACGCGACAGCTTAATGTGATGATAGCTGCTAAAATCAGAGCACAAACAATGGTTATAATACAATTACGGCTAACTTTTTCATGAGACACTTACAGGCTTTGAAATCAGTTTACAATTAATGAAGCTAAATTAGAAATTCGGGTTATCTGGAAATATAAAGAGGACAAGAGAGGGATACTTACCAATATAAAGAGCAATAGACAGTCCTATAGCTGACCACATGGAATATCGACCACCAACCCACTGAAACGGAAGAAGGAAGCAGCGTATTTAAGTAACAGTATTTCCGCGAAATTTGACAGTACAATGACGTTTTTATGGAGATACTGGGATCTGGTGTATTGTCAGTATTTAAAAATGAATCTGAATGCAAATAGTTATCGTTAAAATGAAATACGGTCCTATACTTCAGTAATTCTGGTGAAAGGGAATTCAAGGTATAAAAATGCTTACATCCCAGAATTCAAACATGTTTTCCTCGTTGATCCCGAACTCCTTTACGGCTTTGGTGTTAGTTGACAAAGCAACAAAATGGTGGGCAACAGCTTGAGGCTTGAAAAAAAAGGACAAATAAAGTCCGGGTGTCTCCGAACATAGCATAGAAAAAAAATGTAAATAGCTATCAATTGTAACACATCAGATATCGACAGCGAATAAACCCAGCAAACACAGAATACTAAAAAGATTTGTGGATAATTGGCAGAAATAGGATACTGGGGAAAATTGATTATCTGTGGGAAATAAAATTACGAAGACTGCATTCGTAGGCAATTGTATAATGGTTTCTACAAATAAACGCTAGACAAATTCTGCAAAAACTCACATCTTTCATTTGTTCCAAAAACCAATCCTTTGCATAACGTGCATTTGTCATGGTTTCTGCGGTAGTGAATGTCTAAAAATGGAAAGGAACGTATTAAAACAATAAAAATATAAGAATTTATGAAAAAAATGCCACCTTTGAAGCAATAATAAAGAGAGTTGTCTCTGGACGAACGAGTTTCAGTGTCTCTGATATATGGGTCCCATCAATATTAGATACAAAGTGAACATTCAGATTTGTGGCATAGGGCTTTAAACAATTCGTAGCCATGACCGGCCCCTACAAAAGAAAGCAAAAATAAGCATGGCAAAAAGAGGAAGGAAATAAAGAGTAGAGAGTGAATGCTTTACCAAGTCCGAACCACCAATACCGATGTTAACAACATCTGTAAAGGCCTTCCCTGTAAAGCCTTTAATTTTTCCAACAAGTACACCGTCAGCAAAATTGCGCATTTGCTTCAAAACTCTATTGACGTCAGGCATAACCTAAATACATGCTTTTCAAGAAAAAAGTGCTTACATCTTGGCCATCCACGACAATAGGTGAGTTAGATCTATTTCTAAGGGCGATGTGCAACACAGCGCGATTTTCGGTGAAGTTGATCTTTTCACCTCTAAACATGGCATCACGCATTTCCTCAACACGTGAAGCTTTGGCAAGCTCAACCAATTTCTGCATCGTGGGTGTATCAAGAAAATTCTTTGAATAATCAACAAGAAGGTTCCCTTCGCTAAATTCTAACTGAATGCTATGGCATAATGAACTATAAGAAAACAATGCAAGTACCTGTACTTTTGGAACCTCTGGGGGTCTGCATCAAACAATTCCTTTAGTTTGGCATCAATTGGCTTAAAATTTTTGATGAAATCCATTAGGAAAACCATTATAGGCAACACAAGCGAACGTGACAAAAGCGCAGAAGTTAATGCTAGTTATACAGTGAATTATTTATTAATTAGTTAAAAGAAATCCAAGTATGTATTTTATTGCAGGCACAAAAGGGATTATTAATACAGTATTATGCATGAAAAATATCTTGCTTAAAATAATATAGGGTCTTCAGAAATGTAAACTACAGATTGATTATTATCTCAAAGAATGGAAAATAGGAAAATTGCAAATGCTGGCCATGATAATTATGAGAAGTCTTGGACGGAATCAATACGTAGTTTTTCAAATGACGTCTCTTTTATTACGTCATTAACAGGACATAATAATTTCAACTTGTACAAAAAGATTAATATTTTTAGAGTCATGATAACTAAGCGCGAAATTGTAGATGTGATTGTAAAACATTGTTTAATTGGCCCCCAATCCGACAAAATTATAATATTTGCTTAGAAATTAAGACCAGTTGCATTGACTACTATTGCCCTGAAACATGCCTAGAAATCGCTTACCGCAAAGGTATAGTTCTTTTGGAACAGGGAATCCATTAGAAATAAGCGATGGCTCGTTTGACAAGACCACTAACGAAAATGAATTTAAATTCAGATAAATAAGACCAAGATATGAAGGCATTCTTAATTACGAATGCTCTCTTCGCATGATATAGGTTCTGACTGCTTTGTTTCAATGAGGAATTCGCCAAACTAATGTTAAGCCACTGAATGTGAGCTGATGAGAAAGAAATGTACGTACAGTACATCAGAGTATGTGCGATTGCGTCGAAACTGGTATGTAAGATTTTAATTTTTAGCTCAAAATGTTCAAGCGGCCTGGATTTCGATGCTGATTTCTCGTTTGCTAAATATGACAACTCATGCAAATTCATAACACCTACCAAAACTAGTTGCTTTAAATTTCATACAACAGGAGGTATTTCCTATCAAGACTGAAATTATGCGGTGATAATGGTTTTAGACGTTGAAACTTGCAGATTAAAAATTAAATCCACAAATAATTATTTTAAATAAACGGTAATGCACTTGCATTCTGCTTTCCGAGCAAAAATGAATAAAGCCATTTTGCTTTGTTCAGATAAATACCCTTCTCTTTATTTGAATTGCATCTCCGATTCGATGTTAGTTTTAGGACGTGTAATGACACAGTGTCCTATAAAAGTCAAATCATGTGAACATTTTTTTGCCAGTAGAATTAGCTATCGGCTTTAGCAAATTGCTTAGGCTACCTCGTTAACATGAATAATCGGAAAGCGCGCGGGGTTTGCGCAAATTTTTTTTAAGAGGATGCAGTCTGTGCGATCCTCGAACTCAATTGATTTGAAAGGCTCTGTTGAAATTATAGCGGATTATTTCTGTATGTTATTCTTTGATAATTGCTTTGATTTCAAATCTAGATGTTGCTATCAACAATATCTTGTATATTCGTGGAATTTACCCTGAAGCTTCCTTTAAGCAAATGAAGAAGTTCGGCAGGTCCGTTCTAGTGACAACGGATGATGAGTTAGATAAATATTTAAAGTGTATTATTAATCAACTGCGCAGTAAGTTTTTTTGATATATTACGGTAATTATCTCATAGCTTGGTTAACTAGCAATTCACTAAAGCGACTTGTCCTGGTTATTAAGTGTGTCAAAACCGAGGAAGTCCTTGAGCGTTGGCAATTTAACGTCATTAAAGAAGACGAAAATGTCGATTTGTGAGTCATAAATTGATTTTAACGATCTTTAGGGAATGCAAACCCAAGAGTAGTCAACAAATTGAAAACGAACTCAGTGTAATTGTTCGTCAGATTGTTTCGTCGTCAACATTTCTGCCAGTTCTCTCATCATCTTGTGAGTTTTACGTTAATAATTATATTGGAGTGTCCAACTAAGGGTGAAGTATTTACATGGCCCCTAGGGGGTCAGTTTCGGCATGCACTCCCACTCCATTTTCCGTCCTATCTTCCCCCATGTCTTCTGGCAGCGTCACAGAGTGGACCTAATGTTTATCCTTTATGGATTTCTCATTGTCACTGTCGTGTATTAATTTATATTTATGGCCATTTCGAAGCCGACCTAGTGTCTGTAATTGCTTTATCATTCTCGGTTTTACTAGACACATCTGTTGCTCCTGTGGTTTCATTGGGTCGCTTTTGTGACTAATATTCTTAGAGAAAGTTATAACGGCCAATCATTTTTAATGTGAAAGTTTGGTGAAGTTTGTTTTGGTGTCGCCTTATCGTTCTGTAATTTCATTACCGAATTTTTAAAGAATCTATGTTTTGTTTTAGGCACATTTGACCTATTGGTTTATACGGACAAAAATTCTGAAATTCCTGAAGGTTGGGGTGAAGCGGGTCCAAGTTTTGTACCTAACTCGACTCAAGTGCAATTGAAGTCGTTTTCAACACGAATTCACAAAGTTGAATCAATTGTCTCATATAGGTTATGTTAAACGTCTGTCTGATGATACCAATCTTCTACCTTTTTGATATTGGACTTCAGAACATATTTTTAAAATCGTCCTTTGTAATTCGAAATTTTTGTATCAACTTAGCTCTTTCAAATAACAAAACCCGCCATTGTTTAATTGTCTTCGATTCCATAAATCGCTTACGCCATTACTGCAATTAGGTATGTCACGGCAAGTCAAATTAGCTGATATAAGATGACGTGGTAAAGAAAGAGTGGTAAATGCGTTTGCCGCGATATTGAACCCCTTGTGCTGACCTTCCGTTAGTGGTGATGGCCGTTATCATTGCCGTTCACAATCTCCACCCCCACAACACTCAGCAAAATCATATTTGATTGCGAATGAGTGTCAGTGCAGTTGGCAAGAGGTAAAACTGCAAAAAGACAAAATTGTTAATTCAATTGAGTTGTTCTCCTTTAGAACTAGTCCAGCATCCTCACCAATGAACAATTCAAAGTGGTCATGGTTGCGGATTGTAGACACCGCGGTGTCTCCTCATAAGTTTCGCAGCCTATCAAGATTCAGTTCTACGTATACGGCCGGGTAATGTCACGTTCAACCATCTGAGGGCGCTTCCCACTTTGTTCAGCACTGAAGCCGCATTGTCCATACCAAGTCTAGAAATATTTAAGTTTGCCCTGCACTCATGTGATTGGACTTAGTAGACGGTAGAACGGAAGCAGAGTTTCGTGTAAACATGGGCGATTTAAAGTATGACGACGACGAATCAGTCGGCTCAGCAGTTCGATTCGATGTGGCATCAGTTTAGTCAACTAAAACCTGCTGAAATGGCTTACAAACTTCTCAGGAGTGGTGAAGGGCTGCATCTACTGTGCGGCTAGGCTCCATAGAGCATAAGTAAACCGATCTTGAAATGTTCAATCCATCAAAGGCTGATGTTGTTCCTGATTGTACAAATTTGTTAGGAGTTTATGCAATCGCGTCCCTGGTTTTATCTATTAATATACCTCCGGCTTCCCACTCGATGAGAAAAGGTCATTTTAAATGTGGACCTGAATACAGATTTATCCTTATGCTGAAGCTCGAGATTTTTACTTGTCTGCCGATCATCCTAGCCACATTTAATCAACCAAACACAGAGCTATCGGCCCGGAAAAACTCAGATGGACAGTTCCGACTCGTGATTTGTTGTACAATTTACACACGGCAATCTTTGCGTAGTAAGCGTATATGCTCGACTGCAACTTGATGATTCCCCAGTGAGTTGGTCACGAATTTTCATCAGTAGTTCAGCGATCCACAATAAACGATGACTAATGGCCACACTTCAGTAATCCGACCGCCCTTCAATCTGGTCTTGTTTCATTAAGGGACCTGACCACACGTAACTCCTCACCTATCCGTCTTCAAGTAATCAAGCAACTTAGTTAGAAACGGGTTTTATTTTAAATTACTCAAATGGTTAAACTGCAGACTCACGGTCAGCCACGGTTGCATTGCATAAATTTGAAAGCACTAAAATATATGACTGATTCTCTTTGGCCAGCGTAAAGGACTACATAGGTTACTTGAGTCGGTGCTATCGTGTTATCTATCAACAACTAAATCGGTGCTGTTTCACTGATAACAAATACCAGTGACCAAATATTTTGGAAATACAAGTTGGGTCAATTGATTCGACCAGTGTCCAGACGCATACATCCCCACGCAGTCATCCACTATCTCACTACATCGCAGCACTCAATTTCGATCACTAGTACATCCCACATTAAACCAGTTGAGCAGAGCGACCTGAAGAGTGCAAGACAGGAGAGGCAGTGGGACACAAGCCTAACGAACTATGCGACAGCTGATGCGTTGTCGTTCCTGAACTGAATTACACGTAAGTAGGCAGAGCGTCTCAAGTGGGTCTTCCCGTTCTGCCCTCAAATTTCCCCATAGGGTCATTTATCAGGGAGCACCTATTTGATCGATACGTATATAAATGCAGGTATAAATGAAATAAGTGAAAAGTGCATAAATTAGTTAAGACTAGGCCTTCGAGGTGCCTGCGGGTTGTTCCCCCGACTTTGTGGGAGCGTCCTTAACCTGTGTACCCAGCTTACGCAGCCGGCGCTCAAAGTAGGCAAGTGCAGGGGTCAAGGCAGCGGAGTGTACAAGATCATGGTCAATGGTCCCTGTGTAAAGAAAAATATCGGTGAGGGACAAAACTACACTAGGCAAATTATTGTTTTACAGCACAACCATTACAAATTCCCCACAGTGGGGGCTTAGCTATGTTGAGGCCGGCGGGTATTAGACCATTGGGGACAGATGAAAAGACAAGTGGGGCAACCCTCGCACTTGTAGAAGAAATTACGTCAAGGCAAGACACGCAGTAAATGCAAAATCCACAGACGGGATTTACCTGAAGAATACATAGGGATGGCGGCGGGGCGGTACTTATTATACTCCACTCTGCGACCCAGTGGTCTAGGTGATGCGACAAAATGAATAGCGTTCTAAAAAGGAACACCTCGGCGTTAGAGCCTGCGAAGACATTTGAAAAGGTGGATTTCGGAAGTATTAAAGAGGAAGCAATATAGTCAATTTGAAGGGCGGGCTTTATGCTTTTGATCACGCAAAATTACAAAATAACACATAATAGGAAAACGACGATAGTGAAATAACACTAACTGATGTCCTCACTTACATCCTTAAACCATCTTCTTACACCAGATACAGCAGGTGGCAACTCGGAGCCTAAGGGAATTTGATGGGATTCCTCGGGTGCCACGAGGCCCCATCCAACCCGCTGAAGTCCGAGGTTTGTGGAGACGGATGAGGCATCCGTGAAGACGAGACCCTTGACCCTCTCCCTGATACTCGACCAATAGGACAGCGCGCGTTTGTGCCAGCCAGCGACCGTGGAACGCCTAATCTTATCATCGTTAAGCAATTCTTGGTTAGTGGCGGCGTAGTCGGAACCCATGTCCGATTCACCAAAGGAAGGAGGATAGGAAGAAACTGGATCGCCTATGGGTCGGCAGAATTCTGGAAAATCTGCAAAGCCGGTACAATATCAAGCTTTTCCATAGTTAACGTCATGAATTTAAACCACGCGAGCTGGATTTGTACGTCAAGTACGTAAAAAATGTCGGAGTACAAAATCTCTTAGGTAAGAGAAGATCATGCCAAACGCCTTCCCGCGCAAATGCTATGCATTTCCATTTAACGCAGGAAATTCGAAAAAAGAACAGCCTGGCGACCACCAGACGGATTGAAATTCTTTTACTAATTTGACATGATGGGACTAAGACACCTAATCACTTTAACGTTTGTTACAAGACCAGCACACAATGAAACGATACCGTCGGCGCTCTCGCTATTGCATAAGTAAAATTACGAGCCATGAGCAATTTGAAATTACATAAGAACACACATTGAATCCCTACCACTGCCAAAGATGGTAAAAGGGAAGACGTAATGAAAAGTGAGGAACAAGGGAAGAATAAAAGGAAAAATCGAGAGTTAATAACCAGGCAATACCCCGAGTTAGCTCAGATACACTCTGAGTGCACAGAGATTCTGCAGAGGCGTGTCTGCGTGGTCGTCCAGTCACTTCGCCCGACGATGCGACATCGGACGGAGGGGAAACTTGCGACGGCAATTTGCATTTGTGGGGACTCCTTGGAGCATCCACCGAGGAAGGTTCGTGAGCACCCGTTTGGGCCGGAAAAAAGAGGTGGGCGTTAGTTGCATTAAAGGACTGAAATACTACATAACAACGAAAACCACCGCCAGACAGAGTGATTGGAAGGTAGTTATAATATGGCGACGGTAGCTCCTAAGCGCTTGAAAAATCATTTCAAGGGTAGAGGAATCGATAAGTGGGTGTAAAGTGCAGAAAAGTCGCAAGCAAACAAATGCGACAAAGTGAAACGTCTAGACAGTAAAATTGATGGTTAAAAACAGACAAGAGCCAGTGTATAGCAGAGTTGGCAAAAAAGACAGTTTTCCTGTCTAATAGCAGAGTGTGGACAACAAACGAAACAGACTCGATGGGTCTGGCGCAGAAGTGAAAAGGACTGAACATCATTTGATAAACGGTCCAGGCTTTACACCACGTTTCTGGAACGGGACTGCAAAGACAAGAACATGAGTTGGAGACGTGGGATTTGTCACTGTGCTACTGCCAAAAAAATTCGGTGCGCAGTCATGTGCCTACTTAAGCTAGCCAGTGCCAGTCATTTTTAAATCATAAAGCACAGGTATAAAACTGGTGGAACAAATTTTAATTGATTGCTAACTGGGCAATAAACCCATTGAAAAACACGTCACTCGTGGCTGTGGACGTGAGCGGCACCCAACTCCTTCAACTGTGTGAACTGCATACACTTGAATTGTGGTGATTTTGATCGAAAAGCGCAGGCGAGACGGTAAAGCCAACCAGAATCCTAAAGCACTGATTAGGAATTTTGAAGGCATAATCATCAGGGGATAATTTCAAGGGTCACTACTTGGAACGCGTTCCCGGTTAGTCTGACACAAAGACTCATAGTAGCTCCAGATGACTGCCATTCACACAGGACATCTAACACTCGAAAAGTAGACATACTGTAGGGGGAACCAAAACTTAAAAGAACTTTCCTAATTACGACAGGGAAACTGATAGAGTACTTCGTACAATATGTACTCATCATGGTGAGTACGTGGCAGTGAAATTTTTCTGAGAAAATGCCCATAATGTTTGCTTAATTATGTGCATTGGATATGTCTAATCCGGTGGGAGTGCGTTCAGAGCAGACGCTTATTCACGTAATTGCTCCTCAATACAGGACGGCGGAGGATAGCTTGTCGTCATCATATTCATAGGTTAACCCGTTATTTGACTTCTGGTTCCCACAGAACACCACTCAGAATTTGTTCACTCGGCCGACAGTGCTCACGAAATTTAAATTAATCAAGCAATTTTTGGACCCAGGACAAGCCAAGTATGAGATATGTATTTAAAACAATTTCCACAAATTATGATTTTAAAGCAAGGGCGTGTTAGGATCAATGGTAAACCAACCACCTGTCAAGTGACCTCACAAGGGCTAGTACTTGCTGTGAGGCGAAATTAAGTTCTACACTTGGTGAGTGTCCAGAGCGCTGCTCTGTGGAGGCCTGACGCTTTCACAGGGAGCCACGAAGCTCCACTAGGTGTAAAAAGGGATAAAACACTAAACCAGGTACAACGTGACATACGGGCTGGGGTTCGGGACTTTGGTTGAAAGTTGAGAAGGGAGATCAGAAGCCGTGGCGACCCCGGGATGAGCACCTGTGCGCCATTCACAAGGGAAAGGGCGGAGGGGATAGAGAAAGTAGGCCGCGGCCATCTGGTGCGCCCAGACGCATATCTGCTGGGAGGCGCATCGTTTCATGAGGTGCAGCCACACGCACACCAGCCTCTCCTCAAGCTCCACGTGGCACTTAATACGGGGACAAATTTGGGCAGATTAGACATAAGGGACATCACATAAACAAAAAAAGGGGGAGACTTAACAGCGAACTCGTGTAGAAATGCAAAGGCACGCACATCGCAAAATAAATGAAAAACCACAGCTCCTATTGGCAGTCAATCTGGCAAATCATAACCCTATCTAAAAACAAATCACAAAAACATACGAATCGCGCTACAGCAGAAATAGTCGACATATAGCATTATGTATATCGGCGGACAGCCTCATAGGCCTGATTCAGGGGCCATTTCTGTGTACTCGCTACATCAGCCATACTCGAAATGCCTAATGGCGCACGCACAACTCACCATGGGCTGTGGAATAATGGGGAATTCGCTCAAGCAAATTCGCGCCTGTCTCCGGCGCAGAACAGTGGAGGAGTTAGTTGAAGACGGCGCAGATGCGACTGGTAACAACTCACACACGGCGACAGATTCAGTTTCAGGGTCTAAATCCTCGGGTCTAAAATGGGATTGCATCATCGGCAAAGTTCACGTACCAACACGGCGACCCAACGGCATTTCAGCACACCGGACAATCGATAACTCCATTCAGTTATGAAGGTACCAAGTCGATTAACATATGAAAGTGAATTACTTAGACCAAGAAGGCAGTCAGACGAAAGTTGCCTAAATAAATCGCAAACTCACAATGGTCTACGGTCAACCACGCTATTCAGATTAATGATAGCGAGTGCGTAGCCTAGCGCGTGGGCCATTTCGGCCAGCCTGATTTGACTGCCCGACTCGAGGCCTTTGGCGAATCGGCCGACGCCGCTTTGCAAAAGGTGGTCCGGCTCCCATACGCCTGCTGTGCTGAATGTACCTCCTTGTATTATGATTAGAAGGGGTCCAGTGGATTCAAAAAAGGATTGAGAATGAAAAACCTCAACAGAGATTCCAGGGAAAGGCTCAAGCTAAAAGGCAAACGAGCGCAAAGTGTTTCACCAGTGTCTTGAGTGAAACAAATTCAAAATTTAATAAACTGGATGAACTAATCATGCTACAACAACCTAACAAACAGAAGGGAAACTTGTGAAGTACAGAAGGAAAAAATTGCTTTAAATTCTTGCTCGTTACTTTAAGCAACTGGAAAGCGAATAGGATTGGGTCAATAGTTATAATAGTAAGGGTGGACTTTAATAACTAGACCACTAGGTACTAGCTTCAGCCCCTAGCCGAAATGCAAAGAAACGTACCGGAATGTTAGTAACGGTCATTTTGTAGCGCAAGGCAAGAGCTCGATGAATCAGTCGGGCAGACATCTGAAGAAAGATATTATGCCAACGATTAGGGAGTCCTGTAGGGCGCCAATGGCGAGCTTTTACAGTGCTACCAAGAAACATTTTAATCATCCGACCACAAATATTTCAGTACTTAGCATATTAACAGGTGCTGGTGTAAGAGTTAGCGGATCGTATTCAAGTAGGCCTAGATTCAGAGCGGTTTAACCAATCTTCATGTTATAGTATACGGTTTCTACCAAGCAGGTCCATCGAATCGGACAGCAAATTCGCAGAAGGACTCAGCTGGGAGTCGGGTTAAATTGTCAAACAATTAACGCAGTTTACCGGTCAGTTATATGCGCCTAATTTACAGTTTGGCATCTAATTCTCAGAGTGCATTATGGCAAATTTACAGATGTCCAGAGGGGGATGAAGGGAATGCGTATTCCTTGTTAAAATGGAAAAGGATGAAGGAAAAATTGGGTCTTCGAGGGTCCCTGATTTACTGTCGCCAGGATTTACTCATAACGAAGACGCACACACAGAAGCCCAATCTAACGAAAAGATAATTTCTTTAACACAAAGTAACTTTCACAAGCGGTTTAAAAAATTCAAGTTTTTTGTTGCACATTTTAGAATTTGCTTCCGAAAAGTTGGACACATGAAGAAAACGAAGAGCCAGAAACGCCTTACCACTTGAAATATTTCATTCTCTTTGCGTACAAGTGGGCGATTCAAATACTTCTGCGGTATTTCTAGAAGAATCATAGAGTATTTGTGATTGAAATACTGAGAAATACCAAAAAGGCTAAAAATAGCCAAAGCGAAATGGCGATGACAACAAGCAAATCATAAGCATAACCATTCGACAAAATCTGCGTGTCAATAACAAATTAATCATGGCATACTTAACCCGGCAACAGTGTATTTGTTATTGTGTAAAACGTAGCCAGAAGAAAGGCGAGAAAGGTTTGTTTTCGGCAAATTTCAACCCAGCAGACACAAGCGAACGCGGTAATACATGAAAAACTGAAGTTTTTAGCAAAAGAAATGACCAAAAACGGTTCAACTTGGAGAGATATGGAAAAGGAGAACCCGAGAGGACCACGTACGAGTAAAAAGAGCAGCACTAAAATACTTTGCATTATCGGTTGCCCTTCCACACCAGAAGTGCATTGTGAAGTTAGATAGGTAAGTCGAATCCACACTAACTCAGTTCATTTATTTCTAACTGAACTTAGGCATCTCTAATATCAAAAGCTCAAAAACTCGACTCTGAAATACCAGCGATCAACCAGACAAGCGCAAAAACAGCGATGTCCCAGACAGCTGCGTTTTTCTCGAATAGGGAAAGTGTTGGTAGATAGCACGACTTACTGCCAAGATACGCCGGTGTAAGCATTGGGAATCCATAAGGGTAATTAAGCAACACAAAGATTGCCTTCGGAACTGGGTAGAATTCCAGAGAACAACGACCAGGGTAGCCTGGCCAAGCTGAACAATACATTAACATTGACAATATGATCACGGAGTGAAAATGGTTTCTGCAAAGTGCGTCTAGTTGGTTTAGGGAAGGTTGAGAATACGGTTTGGAGATAGCTACGGGTTCATCGAGGCAAACAAAACGCGGCGTGACATAAAACTAGGGCTAGAAGTCACGACCTGAGGTCGACACGGAAGGTAAAGTGGGTTAAAAGTTGCGTGTAGATCTGCAGGAGATCCAGATTCACCTTCGGACGTTGTGTGCTTTGGGCATCTGAGGTGAGGGGACATTAAAGTTACTCTTCAAATATAACACGTATGACCTATTTTTTGCAGATTTTCTTTCGAGCTTAAAATTATATTTATAAAAACAATATTTCTCGCAGTCTTTCTTGGTTTTAAGAGAGCAGACGCAAGGTTACAGAACAGTGAACGACAAGAACGGCAAAGCTTGCGATGGCAACTGATAAACAGCCCATTCGCTGGAACTGCATTACACACGAATTCCAATAAGAAAAGAGTGCTTCTAAAGCACGGGAATCGGTTTGTAGTATTCTTAGTGCAAATATTGAGTCTTAGGAAATGCGGTATAAGCGTTTTAGAAGTTGCAATTTCGATCTTAGTGATCAGTTAGGAGTCACTCAAACACCTATTTCCAAGCGTTTGAACCAAAGGGAAAAAATTCAACAACTTGGAACTTGGGTGTCACATGCATTGACCGAACGCAACCTAGGTCAACGTCTGAACACATGCCTTTGACTACTGGCCCGGCAGCAAGCAGAGAACGTAGTTCCTGTGAAAAATTGTGATGGGGGATTAAGAATATATTTTGCACGGGAATCCCAAACGTAAAGTCGCAGATAGATCGCGGACAGTAGCCCAGTATATCGACACCGAAACAAATAGAAGAACTTGATCAGAAAAGGCCATTTACTAGGCCTTTTCTGGCGGAAAATTCGCACTGCTCCATCATGACAACGCTCGACCACCTCACGTTGCTCGCTCGACTCAGAAAACCCTACTTAACTTGGGATGGGAAATCCTCCCATTCGCGGCATTTTCACCGGGCTTGGGCCCATCTGACTGCCACTTGTTCCGACCAATTCAGCAACACGCCTTGGTGGATAAACAGTTCAAAACGCTGAGGACGATGTGCGTAACTTTGTCAATGAATTTATTGCTTCGAAAAATGCAAGTTTCTTCCGCGACGGCATTCGTACGTTACCTGTGAGATGGCGCCAGATCATTGAAAACGATGGATATTAGTTACGAGATTAAGTCCGTTGTTCTCTGTTTGTTATATTAAATAAATTTGCTGAAAATTTGTAAAAAGTAGGTCACACACCTAATATTATGCAACAACTACTGTTAATATGACTTTTCCTTCGCCCACAAACGGTAAAATATGCATTCATCAATACGTAAAACAGCAGAATCAAAATGTCACCCTAATCCCAACTGGAAGCTGGGCAAATGTATCTGTCGTGGTGCGGCCAAAATCCAAAGGCAGGTAAAATAGAAGTCCCCAGCCCACCACCTTGCCATGTATCACAAAAACACACTGCGTTAAAGAACATTGATGACATTAGCCAGCTACAAGCCAAAAAAACTTAACCGGCAGTTGCATTTAACGTGAACGCGGCGCCGGCCTGCACTACGGAGAGAGGAGACACCACTTTAAGCCAGTCGCTAGTGGCATATGCGCGGTGGATTGGCCGGTGGAGCCGCGATACAAATGCATATGGTATTTGCTTCCACCAAGCAAAGCACCAGACAGTGAAAATGCAACAATACGAAACGAAGTCGCGAATTACAAACTTACCAACTGAATGCAGGGACGGAGGTTTACTGTCGTCATGCAAAAAATCAGGCGGCTTGAAGACGGTTGGTTGTGAAGCTGAAAAATTAATGACAGCGCTACTTAATCGTGCGAATTGCCGTAGTTCCATGCAACGACTCGATGTCTATTAAAGTTTCTTCATTTGAAGCGCAAAAGTGATGCCACTTAGGAAAGAGAATATAAAAACTCACCGTCCTTGGCCACTGGACCTCTGAATTTGGAGGTTGAAGGTAACCAAGGCAACCTCGATCCGTATGAATCTGCTCAAAACAAAGCGTGTCGTGGGAAATCTTCAAATACTCCACAAGGTGAAACAACCGACAACGAATTTAAAACGGAGCTTATAAGCAATATAGCATAGAATAAGTGCAGCAGAGCGCAGGATTTGCCTCAACCGGATGAAACTGGCTAGAAAGATTAAATGACTCTAGTTCGAGAAGTCCGTGCTACTAGTAATCTTCCTCTTTACTATTTGCATAGTATTAATTTAGGTCCGAAAGCTAAACAAGCTTGTAGTGCATGAAAAAAAGTCCGTGCTGTTGCATACACACACTTCCAACGTGATTAGGCAAACAGGCAACTGGAGAGCAGCTAGACGGTAGAGCAGGGCGTCGAAAAACCTACAGTATGAAACAGACTCAGTCTCATCATCTATCTTTAGAGCACTGAAGGCGAAAGCTAAAGATGGCAGGCCGCATTTTGGACAAATTTTTTCTGAAATAAAGTAAAAAATCATTGCACATTTGTTAGTCAAAAACGGGGATGAAGGAGTCAGGAAACAAACAAGACCCATTCACAATGGCGTGATTGAATGTACTAGGGGTTCCATATTAGTGCCTCAACAAAAGAGACGATACACGCGGACACGAAGTCTATAAAGTGAGCCAACTTATGCAAGAAATGCCACCCGAGAGAAACAGAGGTGCGTGAGATTGTGCGGACTGTGTCGAAATTGCAACAGTCGAGAAGGGAGGGCAAGGAAAGTAAACATGGGTCCAAAGTACAGTGACAGCAGAGGGAAGCAATTAGATGGGGCGTGCAGTGCTGCCGGACGACAAGACGTGAAATTGTTAGCAGGCAACAGGAACAAGGCAAAATAAATATAATTAAGTGAATAAAATCCATGGGAAAAATTTACCTTTTCTTTCTCTAGCAGCAGGAATTGAGCTGCACGACTTTGACCTCTTCCTTTCACTGCTTATAACTAAATTGAAAAAAAAATAGCAGCGTCAGTGACGTGTAAACATAGACACTCAAATTAAAGGATGCCAAAAAAGACAGTAAAAAATAACCTCGAAACCACAAACTTGCATGCTGGAGTACTGCACTGCGGTTGCCAGCATACATAAGATTGTGTGCTAAGAGTAAAATTTCAGATAAACATAAAGGCTCATGAGTAAGTTACCAATAAGACAAAACGTCATCGTAATGTAAACTAGATACATCAAAAATATACGAATAAATGCGCGCAAGGAGGGTGATAAAACGATGACAGGATTGCGGGTAGTGTTACCTACGCTTTTCACTTTGAACTATGAACGCATCGGATGCTAAGAGGAAAGTGGCAGTGAATTCGTGCCACTCAAACTCCAAGCAGTTAACAAGCATACATCCCTGCTAATATCACTCGTTCGTATTAGACAGTGTACCCTCCCGGACAAAACGGAAAACTCTTATCAACTCAAAGACATGTTTTGGAAATAATTCCAACTCATACTTGTTTGCTGACGTAGGCACCGGGTAGGTTTCACAAATGACGTCACATTGCCCAAACATTTGCAATAATTAATCCACACATGTTCAGCCCACTCTCACAGTAAATTACGGCAATTTTAACATTTTCAAGTTAAACCAAGATGTGAGGGGCAGACAAACGCACATCCCCTTGTGAGTTAGCAACTTCTCCGGCTCTGATTGTCAGGCGAAAATGAGGAGAAGAATGGACCGCTTTTACTGCCATGAGGCAGCGCTAGTAAAGTGCGAAATTGCGAGTTGGTGAAAGGTTACACACGGAGGAGAGAGAGGATGAAAGAGACCAGAGCAACTGTGTTGTGGGACCAGTTTGAATAGACAAGTCGAAAAACGAAACCCTACGACCACATATACGGCCGAGCGGTCCAAAGACGAAACGATTGGATTTCGAAAACAGCTTAGGTGATGTAAGCAATAACCGTGCATCTGGTTGATTGGTAACTATTAGCAACAAAAAAGGTCAGAATAATATCTCTGTCGGAAAGTGACTAGTCTTAACCAAATATACCACAACATACACCCCGGCATTTAAGTAGGCATGTCCAAATATTTTTCTGTGGGCCCTATTGCACCAAAATGAAACACTGCTCAACGATCATGAGGGCACAAACGTAGTTTTTTTTAACTTTGCACAAGATAACCTCAGGATTGCCTTTTAAAAAAAATAGAAAATCAATGCATTTCCCATTTGTTATGAATAGGAAGCTATATTCAACTGCCAAAAGGAAGTCTCCCTAGTTCGGAAGAAATCCAGCCACCACAGTTAAAAGCCTTCCCCACAAACGTGGAGTAAATTTACACCAATACCGCAAGCAATTTTTAATAAACACTAGGAGCATGGCAGCCTAGTAAAAAAGACCAGCAACATTAGGTGCACAGCGGTTCAAAAGGTCATTCTGGAATTAAATCCATGAAACCCGAACTAGTAACCTGATGCACACAGTAAAATTAGTCATAATCAGAGAATTGCTTCCAAAAATACAAAAAAAGATCAACAGATGCCATGCTATAGAACTCCTCCGCCACTTAAGCGTGCACAGCATAGGAAGGGATAGATGCAACCATCGACGAAACTGGCTAAGTGGGACAGTTAATGGACATGGTGAGGACATCGGTCATCTTAAAAATCCCCTTTAGATCAAGTTACAGCCGAAAGGGAGTTCCAAATATGCCTACATAACGTATTCTAGAGAAACAAAAGTGATAACTCAGACAGCCCGACGTACAGCTACGAGCGGAGGAAGATGAAGCCTCAGACCTGGTTGGCACAAACGATGATTCAGAAGGCGGTGAAGGTTTTTGTTGTTGTTTTTCTTCTGACGTTTTAGAAAATCCTAGTGAGGTAATAGTAGATTTCGCAGACAGGGAACTTTCGTCTTCATATTTCGTTGCAGAAGGACACTGTAAGACACCGAGAGATTTACTCGTCCCAAAGTCTTCAATTTTTATTTTTTTTGCCTCTTCGAAAGGACCTGGTGAGATGTTTCCTGAGTCGGATTTGTTGCCACCTCCAACAGGGACGGACGATGAACAAGGTGGGGACATTGCGCGTTTCCCCGCTCTCTCCGGATTAGCATGTAAGACATCAACCGGTCTAATATCGCCACCACCTTCAGCATGCACAGACGGTGAACTGGGTGGGGATACTTTGAGTTTGCTTGCACTTTCGGCGGGATCCGGTGAGGCACCGCCATCTGATTCCTTCTCTTTTCGATGTTGGGGAAACATCGACTAAAAGTCAGACGTTAACCACTGAAAGGCTGCCACGGCAAACTTAACGAGTTGGAATGGAAGGGATAAACAATGAGTTACACAGCGCTGAATGCATCAGCGTTATACGGTGTGGCCTGGCAATTGCAAGGCAGAAAAAATAAAACTGTCAACACTGAAAAATACACTCAAACACGGCGTAAATAAGGTCACAATACTTCAAGTGAATGTAAAACAATGAAATTCCCTAGCCAAATCAAATATCTACGGACTGCTTAAGCGCCAGATACACGACCACCTCGAGGTTACGTGAAATGGATCCAAACAAGCAATCTGTCTTCCCGAATTGGCGAAAATCTACAATCCCATTCAAGAAGATGCACGGCGCGTTGGTCAACTGAGATGGTTTAACTTTCGTCCACACGTTCATTCACTTACACTCCAAAATTGCCTCGGGAAAAATCTTGAACTTAAAGCAGCATGAAGTTACGACGACGTAAATCTGGTAATGGACCCTACGCAGTACTTAAATATTGCGCCGACGAGAGTTTAAACTCAAAATAAAGTAGTGTGATTCGACAGGTCAGATATTGCCATCCAAGGTTCTGTGGCGAAAATGATCCTAATGAAAATGACTGGATTAGAGACCTCGCATACACACAGGAAGGATAAAAAGTGGAAGTAATTAGAAAAATCATTTTCATTGATTTAAATTATGAAAAAGACAAAAGAGATCAATGATTGAATGGTGGAAAGACTAAACACCGACAGAAAGGAGGGATTCGGTGATTCGGGGATGCCTAAAAAGAGCCTCCGCACCCCCCCTGATAAGACAGACGCGATCGATGCCCTGATCGATGAGGAGACAACCCAGTTGGTAGGCCGTTTCGTTGCGTTCACTGACAGAGCCGCCGCTGTGTAGGAGCATCACCAAGCCCGGAGATGTTGGAGGCGAGTGGATTGTAGTGGGAGTGCGTGCAGCTGTAGCTTCGCGCCACGCATGAGCACCGGTTATTTGCAGTAAAGAGTCGACTTCGTTGGGAGTTGGATTAGGGCAGTGAATCGACTGCACAAAACGTCTACTAAAGGCAAAGAACACGAGAACCCTCGATGCATCCAAGAGACTGTAAAGTCACCGGCCAAAAATATACAAAAATCGCATTAAACAGACCTCTCTTACTGGGACAGTCGTCTACCCCTGATTGGCTTTGATTTGAAGCAAGCGTAGGGTGACAACAAAACGCCAGGTGCGACCTCCATACGGCAATAGCAAACTTTGACATGTAAAAGATTGCATCTAACAAATGTCTTAAGGCCAGCTACTGAAGGCTGCAGTGCATGGCACACGGAGTTTTAGAAGGATGATAGCTGCAAAAGAAGTATCAATTCACCTCGCGTATTCTTCTTTGCTCCTCACGTCGACAATGACACAGTCAGTTCGAGATAAACGCTGAAGCGCATCCTCTGGAGAAATAAGAGGCACAAGGCTGGAATTCGAGGTCCTGTAATCCACATCTCCTTGGTTAAATGATGCAGCCGATGGGAGATGGTCATCACCACTACTAGAGTTTTCTTTTTCTGTCTCTGCCCACGCTGCATCCAGTTGCACCGGCCACTTCGAAAGACAATGCTGACAGACAAAATATACTACTTGATAAAAAGAGAGAGAGCAAGTGGGAAAAACGCAACTGCAGCGTAAGCCTCTGGTTTAAAGCAGAATGATGATACAAATTTTCCAAATTTCCCTACAGACGAAGGTGACCTGAATTTTAGCCATAAAAATTTGACCCCTCCCCAGAAAACTGTCAATGCATGCATGTTACACTAAAACAAGCTAAGGAGCACTAAGCTAGTAGGCAAAAGGTAGTATGTAGCATGCCTGAAGTTCACTTACCACGCAATACCGACGATTTTGAACAGTTGACGCTGATTCAGTTGAGACAGGGCGACAATAGGAAATTATCCGATTGTGCGTCTTATTGAACACATTTAGCGAGTGAGAAATAGTGTCCAGCCAGGTCACTGGCGTGGCTTGATCAGCCTGATTTGTCAAACTGGCAGGAGTGTCGGCAGCAAAGACGAGTGCATCATCCAGACATCGGTCGAGGTTGAAGTCAGGAAAGTTGGACAGCAGGGTGCATATGTTTTCCTGATTAAGGGACTTCAAAAGAAGAGCGACCTTGAGCTGCTGGGATTATTATTTATTAACAGCTGTTTACGATCCACCTACCATGACGAAAACAGCGCTCAATCATTGCGAAAAGTATCGCGAGTTAAGTGGAGCCTGCGGTGCGATATAACTAATTGCAGGGAGCTTACCCGAATGTCCACAACTGTCCGGAAGGGTGAGTTGGTACTACAGCGCACACATTGCGAGCCCAAAATAATGGTATGTTGCCGAATAAACCTTTTTTTTATTTCGGTAAAGAACATTTATGCTGCTAAGCGATGGCGCAACCATGAAATGTCATCACAACGACACTTTGGTAGCTAAATCCTAGAAAATCGAAGCTACCTAGCTCATTGTTCTCAAGCAGCTTGGTAAGTGAGGACAAGGTAAAGATTAATGAAAAGTTTTTACAATACGAGAATAGGTTGAAAACCGCGCGACTTTTCCGGTGTATTAGAAAGTAGAACGGCCGGTACTTAATGTGATGGTAGATAAAATTGGGCGTGGAATTTTCCCGCTCGTTGTCCCACTCAGTATTTTCTACCACGTTTTTGAGATCAAATTACCTTAACTTAAAAGTATAGCATTTGTATCTTGCTACATTATTGCCACTTGTGTTAAGAAGGGGTGGTCAGAGGATGTTAAAGTGATTGCTTTAGAAGCTCCAAAACTACTAACCTTTAAACGGCACTGTTGGTTGACTTGATGGAAAATTGCAACATATACAAACATGAGGAGAGCGGGCGGAGCAGCAAGCAGACTGTCCCAGAGTATCTCAGTTCTATCCAGAGGCATGGAGTGAGCAAAGAGGGTGTAGATCCAGCCAGCAGTGAGGCCGGTGAGGGGGACAGCGAGGTGCGCAAAGTGCGAGGCCACAGAGGGCACGTGGAAGGCCAGGAGACGCAGCAGAAGGGAGAAGTATGCTTGAAGTCCGGAGGTGAAACGACGCCGCGAAAAAAATCCAGCAAGACGTGAGGCAAGGAGGTTCGAAAGACAACAAGTTGCTAGTTCGGGGTCGGAGAAGAATAACCTGGTAAAGACAGCCGCCAGAGAGTCCATACCCTGAAGTAAAAAACGCAAGGGAATGACACATTGTGTGGGAGGTCGCCTTTGGAGACAAGGTCATTGGACCATTCTCATAAAACACATACAGTGTCTAAACGGCGCAATAGGTTAAATCTTCATTCGGAGGGATCGTCTCAAAAGACAGTGGGCAGTAGAAGTGTACAAACTTTCATCCAAGCCTAGTGCAAGACCGAGTAAACAAATTAACCAAAACAGCCAGTTACTGCAGAAATAACTGTTTTTGATTCAACTTGTTAGAAACCTAGTGAGTTATAATTTCAATATAAACCTTAGTAAAAACAGGATAAACACAGAAATCTACTTGGGAATAAAATAGCCATGCAATTTTAAAGGCAGACGTTTGGTGCTCTAGATTAACACTGGGCAAGTAATTTTTGCAGAAGAATAACAAGGTCTTTTGAAACTAACCTGCGTATATTCATAACGATTATCGTTTGCAACTAATGCAGCGACCAGGACAGAACGAATACGGTGTTGTCCCAGTGGCGATCCAATCAGGAGATCATAGGCATGGCAGCGGGGCAAATCAACATTTATTTGACTTAGTACTTGTTCCGATAGTGCGTCGGCTCGAAACAAAATTCGAGACCTTTCAGCTGAAGCTATGGACAGGGCTGCTGAAATTTTCCGCCGAGTCCTATCATCCTGGAGTCCAGATGAGACACCCAACAGAGCCGCCCAAACCTATGTGGCAAAAGACATCCTGTGCTTAGGTATTCCAAGTGGGCCTAAGTCAAAGACAAAACAATGGAGCTTAATAATGCGAATCTATTACTAAAAATACTAATTAATGAATGGGCAGACTGATCTAGCACAACTCCACCCATGTAAGTTGCTCACACCCCACACACTATTCGGATGATGACCTGCGGCCCAAAAATATCGTCAGAGTGACTGCACAAGCGTTTTACGATACACACGTGTACGTAATTTTCATTCAGTACTTCCAAAACAATCGAAAACAAGCAACAAAAGATTATGCCTTAGGGTTTCTAGGAGCTCAAAAATCAACGACAAGGATTTGTGTGCTTGATTTGACAATCTATAACAAGACTCACTGTTTCAAACAAAAGGATTACTGGTGAAATACTGCTGAGACGGATGAATACTCGAAAATTGACACAAGAACCAATCCTTAGAAAGCAAAGCGTCGCACATCTGTTGCAATGAATTAAGACATCGAAGACCAAGCATTAATGTTTGCCAAGGTGGATTGCAATAAACCGTAATGACTACATCTGATAAAACATTTGTTTAGGTCGATAAGTTGCTCTGAAACCTTAAAAGAGATCAAAAAGCCCACCTCTGCTCGTAGGAAGGGGGGAATATCAAATCGCGCCTCAATAAGTAGTCGGGTTGCAGTGCTTGGCATCCCCAAAAGGAGTCGTCTGAAGAGACAAACTCGCATTATCTGGTATTCGACGTCGGCCTGTTTTACTAGCACCGGTTGAAACATTATCGAGCCACTCGAATCAACGCCCAGTTCGTGCTTGGGGAGATGGCTTATGGTGCCTAGTGATGATCCTCGTCGCCAGCAGTCCTCAGTGCCAATCAAAGCAAGACTGTCCACCACGTTTGGCTCTCCATTACTTGCGCCATCGCCCAGAAGAGAGTATGAATGGGGAAAGAGTAGAGGGTAGAGAGACTGGACAGGAACAAGGGAAAGACGCTTAAGCAGGCGTTCAGCTGCAAGGGGTACCACCATGGGACAGAATCTAGACAAATCAAAAACACGATGCGGGGAAACAGATTTCAGGACTAGCGTATTCCGCAACATGTAACGATTTTACAGCCGCAAGTATGCACAAAAGAGCACCACAACTCATGGAAGTGTCCGTGTGTAAACTACCTTAATCTCATAGGTTGATTGGTAGGTAGCCAGATCTCCTGAGTACCGCCTCCTTTGGCTCTTTCCCCAGACAAAGGATTAGTTAAATAGACAGGTAGTCGGAGAATGGGTGGTCGAAGGCCACTATGGAGGTAGTCATTGCCGCTGACCCCTTTAAGGAATGTTGTGGCCAGGTCAACACCGCCCCCAGCGAGTTGCCAATAGTAGTAGTTTTCAGCAGGATCGTCTCGTGACCGCAAAAATTTGGCGGCTGTTGTCAAGTCGTCTGACGGTTCGCCCTCCAACGAGAAATTCTGAAGATGAAAACGCTAGTGAAAGTGTGGGAGTCAACATTATCACTTCTTCATGCGACCAATGCGCGCACAAACGTCCGTTTGCTTTCACTTCCAATAAGAAAAAAACATTCCACATAAATTAAATCGACAAACTGACACTTTCCCTGCTAAACTTGTCACAATCAGTAAGAAATGTGAAACAAACTCAATGTATTTACGAAATTCTCATTATCGGAGCCAGTCAAAAACTAATGCTACCGAAATTATGCATGTAAATATACATCAAAACGATGAACGATAGAATTGTGAACATAAACTGGTAAGAGGATCACAATTGGATTAACCTGAGCTCGCCACAGAAGCCTGAAGTTTGTAACACGGAATTTACGGTATGGAAGAAAAGTATAATGTTGCAAGACGATGTGCATTAATGAAAGAATGGACATTACAGTGATATGAAAAAGGCCTCCAGATCATTTTGAGGTAAAAACCGAAGGAACGTTCCCGAAATTGAATACTAGACAAAAATGCACTTACCTCATTATCTATTTCAGATTCGGCTGATTGGATCTGCTCGAAAATTTGCGAAAAGTGCCTATGGATAGTAGTTAGAGACGGTCGATATCGAGCATCAAGGATTAGGCATGACTGACAAATTCCGTCAAAAATTTCGACCCATTTACTAAATTGCATTGGGATTTCATTTTTGGGATGGATTAAATAGAAGAAAGACGTGTCGGAATTCAGTGCCTTGAATAGGGCTTGTAAGATTGAATCCGGACTGAATGCTCGCAAGGGAAAATGAACCAGTTCAAGGAAAATGAGTGCCAGAGACCAGAGATCAGAACGCAAATCGATAGGGCACGGCGGTTCAACCGACGCAGAAATCTCTAACTGAATATCAGATTCTGCAATCAGAATCACTTCAGGTGCAGAATAGCGCAAATCCACCACAGGAAAATCGAAATCTACACCCCAACGTGATGCATAAAATAGACCGCAATCTGACATCTTTACTCGTCCATGATTGTCGATAAGGAGAGCAGAGGGATTCAGGCACCCATGAACAAGACCACATGAAGCCAAATATTCGAGCGCATAGAGACACTCCTGCAGTCGCTTTAAGAGCCAGACAAAATCAGAGAATGTCTTAACTGGAGGTTTAAGTTGACTGAAATTGTATGCGTAATATTCCGTGACCAGATATATACGCCGGTTTTTGTCATGTTGAGCATCGATGTACCGCACGACATGTGGGTGTCTAAGACGACGCAGATCGACTAACCGAGAGATACAAGAGATAGTGCAAGGTACGCGGGATGCTTCACAGGTTGAAGAAGACTGAATTAGGGTTTCACCGGCAATAAGACAGGAAAGACCAAGATTAAGGTCCGTTTGTCTGTGTTCGAAGAATCGGGCAAAATGCATTCCTACAAAAAAACCGGTGTCATTTTCAATCCTAAGTTAGCATATGCCAAAGGAGTAATACAACCTAGGATATGAAAAAAGCACAACTGAGCCTGCTATTTCATTTCTAAGATGATATACCGACCCACGAAAATAACAAAACGAAAGGTACACGAGTGAAACAAAATCACCGACGAATTAAAGCGGCAGGGAGATGAAAAACACGTTAAGGTGGATTCATTTTCAAATTTTGTTTGCGAACTTCCGGTCGGCCAAGTATAACATTTAAGTTAGAATGAAGTATTTCAAGGAACGCCTAAAGTGCACAAAAATTCAGGGAGTTCAAGCTATACAAAAGAAATAAGAGGTGCCACATTACACTGGATACGTAGAGAGTCATTGACGAAAACATTGTATTTTCAAGTAAGGTGGGTTTGGGATCAAAGCGTCAACACACCGAGCCACAAACAAGGGAGTACGATAGATTTCCGCCCTATTTCGTTAGTTGACGGATTGCAACAACAGTAATAAGGCTTAAAAATGTCAAATATCCAAGTAAGAATCATGTAAAGGAATTCAAGAGCGTTAAACAGAAAAACATAGAACAGAAATGTTGCACAGACGCAGACCAAGGTCATTATCAAAATTCTATGAAAGAAGCCAATCACATCTTGAGGTGAGCAAATTGGTTTTCACAAACTGCAAAGAAGGCTAAAAAACTGCTAAAAGTTGTACACCGAATAGCTATTAGTCATAAAGTGTTATTTAGGCTGACACATGTTTTCTCAAAATTTTCCTATATACACCACCTCTAACAAACTTCTCCATCCACCTAGTCATTGAACCGGTGGACAACAAATTTAATTTGCAAAAATCTAAAGATTTAAAACTTTTATAGAACTAAAAATTTGTTAATAAAGTGCACACTGAAAAATCCGGCATTGTTTAAATTCATTGCTACTTATACGGTGAAATTAATCTGATTTGCAATGAATTGCGTCCCTCGTCTCTGCAGATCCCTTCGCCCATTTATTAAAACTTCAAGGCGATTGTCGCATGATGAAGTAAAGTAAGTATAGTTTACGTTAGCTACTTTAAGAGTCTATTATCGTGACCACACCCATTACGATGAAACGGCAGAGAGAGTTTTCCGTGTTGCCAGTACTGTATTTTGGGCTTGGGTTTCATACCACTTCATTAACCACTGGGATATGCTCATTGTAAGTCTTATTTCAGTTACTAAGAAATTCTCAGGGCCACGACCTGCATCCCAAAAGATCGTCGTTCTCTGATGCCGAACTCGGAGTGGAGTAGTAATCGGACATGCAATTATCCCGACTTCTTTTAGTGTCTTGTGAATTATATAGCATTGAATAGCATATCGGGAAGCCTCCTTTTGTCGTGGTTGGGCAATGCTTTGTTATCCTATTTATTCTGAAAGCGTTAACATTGAAATATAGTAGACAGCGCAATGATCCTTTTTAAGTATTAACTGATTTGGCTGTGTAGACACTTATCGCTGTACTGCCTACAAGGGAATCGCATTTTGTCATTTATGGCCTTCAAGACATGCAAAATGACCATTTCCAAATATATGTCGCCATTTCCTCTCCTCGATTCCGCTCGAATTGGTTTCTTTTTCGAACAATTTCGGCTACGTAGGCGCTAAGTGAAGCCTGTTCAGGTCTAACTGCACGAAAATTTCGGAAAGTGTGTCACACCAGGTCCAGAATTTCTTTATTTTGACTCACTATATTCAGCTGTAACAACTTGGCTACGAGATCTTTAGCCACGCTGCTCGTCGATTGCCTTACATAATGTATTTAAACGGATCACTTAAGAAAACGAAACAGACTTTCAACATTTCTCGGCTTTTTTGTTAGTTCTCGTTTAGTGTGTACGCGTTGCAAATGATGTTTCGTGGAGGCAGTATCCTGTCCACTTGCGACCCGAATTTTTGGCGATCTCTGTGTCTATCTCTTAACAAGATGTTCACTGTGCGGGCTCATCCCCTCAAGTGACAAACTGACACTTCTAAAAAAATGCTTACCCTTAACTTTCGTTCATCAAATGAAGTTAGGCTCGTAGTAACCGGACCCGGGCCACAAACTTATGGGCATTTAGTGATAATTCCACCTTTACGTTCAAGCTAAATACCTTCCATACTTTTTTTCCTAAAAACCTTTCAAGCCCATTTGTGGTATAATTACTTCAGCCATTTCCTTGATGGCTAGCAGCGCTGTGCGAATGGCCAACAATGCACAAAAACGGGACTACACGCCATGTTATTTCGTGCAAAGAGTTAGCAACACAAAAAGCAAAACTAAGGTAATCTGTACAATAGCTGGGATGTGTGTGAACGAGTTAAGGAATTGTTGGCGAGTGCTGTTTGTGGAACAAACAGACTAAAGCCTGGTCTTTGGGCACATGGTATGGTAAGATGTGGCTCAGAGCTGAAGCTCTCGTGGTAGACAGCTGGCGTGAACGAGGCGCGGTAACTACTGCTGAGCACTCCATCGCCGGAAGACATTTGAGAGAGATTATGCCGCTCCAGACAACTGTCACGATCACGAAGGGTCGAGATCACTTGACCTAAGTTGTAAAAAAAACTGAATGAGCGGTCATAGCGAAACCAGGGGTATGGAAATGTAAATCACCACGTTTGGACGAGATTCGATAAACTCCGAATCAAAACGCGAATGCTAAAGGTAGTCTTAAAATTTTAGTGACGATTGTGGAGTGGGCTAGTAGTATTTGGTATTATTTTTCAAACTAAGTATAATGATGGGCTTTACTACATGTAAGAGAAGGCTAACCGCAGGGGTTACCACTAAAAACTAGGCATAACTGCAGTAAAATCAGGCAAAGTCGCAGGCAGCCTACCCAAGATATTGAACCGGCTCCAACGGGGGTCCTCATGTTGGGCTAGAAGTGACAGGTCATGGTCAAGCGGACTTGAGGGTAGGTCACAGGATTCACGCGACAGTGAATGCCATAGCTGTACCAAATCTGACTTGGGGACGCACAAACTCGTCTCTCTGTTTACTTCAGCTAATAAGGATTTCACGTGTACCGTCTCCACTGGGTTCGACAAGTGGATGTGGGCTGTGAAAAAAAAGAGTGAAATTAACTTGTGATGAAAATCCATGGGTACAACAAATATACCATATGTAAACCAGAAGCGCACTTAAGATATAAGTGTACCACTACTTGCCTATGTGTTAATTCCAGCAGTATGACTCAATTTCTAAATTAGTGAGTTTTAAATTAATGATTAATGTCCCGCTTTTGGTTCGTTACCAAAGTATGCAGCAGCTACTGCTTAAATAGCAGAAAAGGCCCACTGGAGTACCAAAAACCCGCATAAGAATTTTACTCAGACTTCAGTGAGTGCGAAACTTCAATTTTTCTAAGACGATTAGTGCACATTTCTGTATTTCGGAGGTCGCCACCTTCAGATCTCAGCATTAACGGCATCGCGAAAGCAGTCGAAAGTCCGGTACTCCGTGTTCACATTAGCTCATGAAGGTTTTATGCGGCACATTAAAAGCTCCTGGAGAACGCCGCCATCCAAGGCGAACAAAGTTAATGACAATGTATCACGGATCCACGCAGTACACGTGATGTAATGAGCAGATTAATCTCAACAAAAGAGTAGAGCCAAACTGTTCAGGTACTTTGTCGGAGTACACAATTCCCATTTCACTTGGCACATTTATGACGCTTCGAATTTGCACAATTCAAAAAAAAACATTTAGCAGTAAATAACTATGACTGATTATATAGATTTGAGCAGATTAATTTGAACGAAAACGTTTGCAGCCACCACCAGCCACGGTACCCTCACTAGGAACTCACTGATAATAGCCACTTTAGTGATTTAATGGAGGCTAGACTGTTTAATGCGTTCCTGCCAACCACCACATCTCGAAACAAACCTCCATAGGTTTTCGAAACAAAGACAGTACTAAAGAAATGCTTAGAAAAATCTCCTGTGCTTAGGATTGCATACTTGTTTAGCTATCTAGGGCTAGCATCAGTTAACACCGCGTGTGCCTTTAAGGAAATATTTCTAATAAAATAAACATCTGTTGCGGTTTTGTTTAATTATCAACGACCCACTTACAGTATCCTGTAACGCCGTAAACCAGTCGATGTCTCCACGTGAGTTCACAACACCCACCATTGCAATTGTTTCGACACCGCGCTGACAGAGGTTGCAGACATTTCGCCGAGTCTACTTGAGCTAAAAATATAACAGCGCCGGCGCGTATCCACTCCGCAAGCCATTGACCCAACGAATCAACCCGCCTAACACCGGGAGGTAGGGATTTTTGCCAGTCACTGATGAATCGACCCGAAAGGAGAGGAGAGAGAGGGCGGGATCCACCGACAAGGCACACCAGCCCGTCGGAACGCCCTCGTCGCCAATCCAAAGGAAGCAGAGGAGAACCGCTGCTACTACGGTCACCAACTGGAAGAAAATCGGGGAGCGCAGTCGAGCCGAGACGAGAACATGTGAGCAGGTAGTCAACTAGGCGGCCACCACGAAAAGGCGCGCTAGAAGCTATTAAAAAGGAGGAAGACAAACGAGATGGGAGACTAGACGACTTCTTTTGAATATGCTGACGGATTGCAGCCGTTGAAGGCGGTACCGAAAGTAGGGAGGTAGGAAGAGGGGGATATTTGCGTCGAAGGGCGGGCAGGTAATCACACAGATCCTCGAGAGTACAACTGTCCAGCAAATCACATCCACGCTATAGCAAAAAAAGGAAATTTCCACTCGTACGCGAGTCGATGATATAAAAAAACCTAAGAATCCCTTAAATAGGTACGTTAGTCCGCTAACGCAGGAATTCAGCCATTCTTATTTAAACTTATAAAATCGCTTCAGGACCTAACTAAATTAACAAAACACGCTCGTTTAAGAGCTCATCCATCATTCATCTTATAATTGTGGCAACTGATTGTTTTGTTTAATAGAGCAAAGATAAATTTACATAAAGTTGGTACGGTAGTAAAAGGATTGACAAAATCAAACCTTCTTCACACTTCCTATCATCCAACATAGGTCTAAACAGTAAAAAGCAGGAACAGTTCAGGAGATAAATGCACAAACAATTCTTGACTTATGTGGAACTAAATGTCCCGTTTTAGGCGATATACGGTTTTTCAGCTTACAAAACGTGATACTGTGAATATACACATTTTGGCGCAACAAAGTACAGGTCATTAATTATCTCGACTTCATATTTAAATGCCTAGAACTTGCACTGATTAAAGGAGTTGCAGTTGAGGCAGTATAATACATCGAAATCTGACTGGATAGAAGCGTGCTGATTTCACCAACCTCATTAATTTCGCAGCCAAAATTAAATTTTTACTACGAAATTCTGGCACGACATACAATATGTATTGTTAGCATTAACGTGGGGCATGAAACATCAACGTTAATATGGTGGATTTGTGTGTCTTGGCCTCAGCCGAACTAATAACCAAAATTTGGGTTGGAATATTATTCAAAACACTTCTAACAGACGGTTATTTTTCCAATGTTACATGGAGAAACCAATTTCAGCACACCTGTAGAAAAATTGACTGGAACACACCACTTTAAAAGCAAGTAAAACAACGCAGATATTCATGGCTGGATGACAGTAACAAGGCTTAAACAACTCGATTCACCAATAGATTGACGATAGTACTTGTCATCGAGCTGCCTGGAGCCAGATCAGACTCCTTCATAAGAAAAACTTCACAATCGGGGGAGTTCGTGCCACTAGCAACGAAATCTGGGGAGTTGTGCATAGAATTCGCAGGTGGCGAAGAAGAGGAGCAGGTCCTATCCGACTCCGTGAGCGGAAGCAAATCGAGGCTCGGGGATGACACAGAGAGACCTGACTCGCCCCGTAGACGGTCACTCTGAAACACATGGGTGGTACACAAAGTATAAATGGAATATGCACAATATTCCAGTTTACAATAAATGGTGCCATTTCTCACAAGAGCGCACCTAATGCTAACTCTCAAAGAAGATTAAAGAAGATTTTCTTTAGCGTAAAAGCACAAGAAAAATTATGGCGTAATTCGTTAAAACAAGATATATTGAATCCCAACGGACATAACACCGGTAATGGACGAGGATATCATCAGAGCATTTCGGTAAAAGCAATAAATGTATGCTGGCACAGGGTGATTAAATTAGACATAAACTAAGTCGTGGAAATTGAGTTACTAGTACGAACAATCATTCAAGCGTTCACGCATTTCGCCTTTGCCAATAATCTGAATGGCTTCGATCTTGCCCACTAATCAAAAATACTATATGTCAATATAAGTTATAAGGCTAAAAATAACATATTTTGAGAATGAGGTCGTATTGTAATAAAGATGGAAGCTTAAACCGACGTAATCGAAAAAAGGAACGTGGATTCAATAAGAAGGAATGGCAAAACCTGCCTGGGAAACACAAACAGCTGCTGGAGAAGCGGTGTCGTTGGTACCAGCGGCCTGCGGCAGGATTGTGTGAGATAAATCATAAGATCGTTCCGAAGAAAGTGGCGAAGGGGGGCTAAAATATCAAATCGAACCTACATCTGTAAGCCAAACACCCTTTAAAAGTATTGCGTTAAAAAGAACATCGCAATCATCAGTCCAATCAACGTAGTGTTTGTAAACCATTTCTAAAAATTGTGAATTATGAACTCCAAGTTATTCAATGGGGGTTTTACTTCAAAGCAGTACTTATTATATGAATATCGCAAAATTCAAATACAAGTAACTTTAACCTAGACCATGCAAGCATGACCTTATTCAGGGTGTCCGATTATTCTAGTTGTCCAACCATTTGTTGAAAGACCACAACGAAATAAAACTGCATACCTGAGGGAAGTGCCCTGGTGATTGAGAGATGGTGAGGAGGGAGGATCATCAAGTAAATCGTGGTCGTTGGCAGGTTCAGAAGACAAATTTGTAGCCGATTCAGAATGAACATCCAACTCTATGAAATCATCGGAAAGCATATGTGAACTGGACGGTGGTCCCGGGCCCTGATTTTCTGAACTTTGGTAAACTGGGGTGTTTTCAATAGAGTTATTGGCACCGTGTCGAAGGAGAGCAGAGGGTGCGAATAAGGGATGACCGAATAGAGCATGGGTATAATACATGTCTGTGGTGGAATGAGTTGAGTTGGATGATGACGACGAAGCTTGCATTATTGGTCCTAGGTATTGACATGAAATTAAAAAAAACATCTGAAAATCACATTTAGAGGAGAACAAGGTAACGACCATCGATAACTGATAAATGGAAAGCTTCATATACCGGTAAGAGTAAGCTGGAGCCCTAGACAAAAAAGTACAGCCCCTAAGTAAATAAACTAAATACTAAAACATGGAGAACGCATAAACGACTAGGTAGTTAATTGACAGTAGTGCAATGATTGGTATACAAGGCACACATTTGAGCCATTAGATACATAAGAAGAAACAGATTAAAAGACATTACGTAACAGGTCACACGCCTGCAGAAAGGTGAGAAATTACCAACTCAAAACATAGAATTGGACTCATAAATGACTAACAGACGACCTGTGAGTTCTTACAAGTGTATCAAAAAAAACAGATGGAACATTGACGAGACCACGAGACCAATTTGTATACAATGGCATTTTAACCCAACCAACACAATTATTGCACTAGATAGCCTACTAAGGCATCAAACACAACAAAAATACTCCTTCAAAGGACCGTATTTAAAAGCAATTAAACGGAAACACCCAACATTGGGATAGCACCAAACAACAAATAGCCTGAAATACCACACAGAAAATGTCAAATAGTCTGCTCCCGATTTAGGATACATAAACAAATTTCGAAAATTATATGCAGCAATTGGAGGCTAGATATCATAACTTCTGTTGCCATATATTAAATAAAACCAAGATCACGTTTTTTTTAAAATAATGACCAAGTAGTGAAGGTTTTTTGCAAATGTAACATATTTGTGATATTTTTGTGAACAACTTCTCTGTTTAGACCTTTAATCAAGTTTCAAACCTGCTATATGTCATGCACGATTCCTGATACGTCATGCAATACGCCAGAATTTTTGAACTCTTTTTATATTTGTACCTTCAGAGACCTGCTCGATGGTTGGTGTGAATTTTGCAAAAATATGGGGAATTCTGACTTTCCCTCAGCGAATAATTTCCCCTTTCGTATCTTTTAACATATGTTTCGTTAATGTCTTCTGATAGTTTGTCGTTCCAATTCGCTGCGTGTAGTTGAATGCCCGTATTGAAGCAGAACTGGTATGCGCTTCCTTTGCCGATCTCGTCCTAATCCTAGGTCCCAGCCCCTCTCTGGTGTTAAACCCTAACAAGTTTCGCAAGTTTAAAATTTCACACGAACCTGATCTCTAATTATAAATATTTTTCGCCGCAATTAGTATAATCGTAGTGTCATTATTGTTTATAACCTTAATTAAATATTTTACAGACGCGGAGCGATGTACATGTGCAAATGCCGAAAGAATAATATTAATACTAAGCACAAATTATTAATTATATTTTACAACATAACTATCGCCCTTTATCCATTTTAGCATCTATGTGTAATCCACCGATTTAAGAGGCTATCACTAATTGGTGTGCAACGCCACACCATGTTAGTGATAAGTTTTACCCTGGATTTAGTCCCTTTTTGCCGTCTATCAGAAATTTTTAGGCCCTCACTCGATAATTTTTTTATTTCTTATCGTATTTCAAAATATTGCCTATTCCTCATTCCTACTACGACTTTTCCTTAAATTTTTTAATTATGTAACAACAATAACTTTCTCCATTCTCTATAATGGTTTAATTTGTAGTGGACCCCGGTGCGGTTTTAGAAACCACACCAGGGCCGACAATCTACACTGACACGGCCCGACCGAAAGAGCAGAAAATGCGAGCGGCTCGTAGCTCAACTAATTTATTGATGCAGCCGTGTGTGTGTGTGTGTGTGTACAAGATAACAAGTACGTTTATATAGCCTTGCTAAACGTCGATCCCTGAACGAACATAGTTAGGTGGAGTTCATTCACGTAAATCAATTGAATCATGTTCGTTCGCGTGCTGCTCAAATTAATCAATAGGCAAATTTTAATAGCTTTAACTTTTAAGGCATTTAATTATGACGATTGGAGTAGGTTTATTTCATCTAGGAACGTTATTTTGCACATTAAGTATCCTATTTAGTCCTTAACCTTAGCCTGTACCTAATTCTCTCTTATAGTATGAATGAAACGTAAGCCTTCGATTAGTCAGCATCAAATGTTTATCAAACAGAGAGCATCTTTAATGTAAAATGCGGAAGATAGGTGTAACTCTCTTAATGCTCTCCCCGTTATTTCGCTACATTCATGTGCCTTACAATTTGCCTCCTCAAATGGTTTCTTGATTAATTTCCTTGTGCAACACAAATGGGATCCTAACGCGAAAGATGGCAATATGTATTTGATAGTCAGATCTGAGATTTTCGGAATGATGATTTTATCTTGCGGTCGCTGTTTAATCATGATCTGCTGGTGCGTTTCGCTCAGTGGCATAAATGTGATTTTTTTTTCTCAAAAAAATTATATGTGGTTGGTACAACGATTTCTGCAAGAAATTGGCCACTTGTTATTTTCCGGGGGACCTTATAACTCCGAAGGATCGAGAAAATCTTTCTAACCATTAATACTTCATTTTGGAATATTAAAAATAGTGCTGAATTCAAATCAATTTCCTGATTGGTAACGGAGCTTGGGACTTAAAGGCTTCTTATCATAGCCTTTTCGATGGATTTTTATCGTGGCCAGTGGAGAATATTAACATAGTTATTATAGTTCGTCAACCTACACGTCTGTAGAGATTTTGATTAAAATGCACCCTCATGACAATGCATGTTGGGTCATGAATATTTAGTAACGGAAATTGTCCTGTCGACCTAAAGTACATCCAGTGAACTTCCATCTTACATTTAAGTAGCTGACTGGTTTCTTTGTTATCTAAGTATCGAATGTTTTCGCTTTGTCGCACTGTTGTGCTTCAAGAAGGTAGATGGCTTCAACTCAAGCTCTAGAGGTCGATGTCAACCTGCAAGTGTCACCCACTGCGGATATCTGGCAGGCGGTTGCTCTTGACGCTTCTTATGTTCGCCAGAGGGCTTTGGCTGCGCCACATTTAACTCCTGCTCAGTGGAACCTTTATCTACGCAGGAGGTACCAGCTCTCGAGGACCTCTGCAATCAAAGCCCCAACCGACCGCTGTCGTTATATTTCCATGCGACAGAACCTGCTTGCTCAAAAGTACGCCCTCCATTTAAGTTTTAATCCCGGTAAAGCTTTATTTATCACTTAATTAACTCTAATGAAATCTCCTGGAATTTGTACTCTGTTTTGAGAAGTTAGGATGCTTTTTCCACTCCTTTCTTATCAGATTAGTAGTCATAATATTTACTGGAAACAGTTCTTGTCTAAACATGCCCCAGCTTTGTCTTGACGCATTCTTGTTACCCCAAATTCCTCAGAACTCCTTTAATGTTTTTTCGGCAAGTGTTCGTCTACTTGGTTTGACGTTTTAACGTTAAACGTGACGTTCTGTTCCTGAAAGTGCGCGAACCAAAGTTGGAAAATCATCCAATTACTTAGAATGTCGTGATGCATGCATAGTAATGTTGGATGTTTCAGGAATCCCGGTATCTCTCAAAATGCGAGGAGCCTTTGAAATGCTTATTTCCACGATTCTGCCAAATTTTTTCGTGCAAGATTGCCCCCCAAGCCCCGGTGGGGTTCGTACTAAATGAGTTCAATTGGTGACCAGATGATTCACCTTCGTAAACAGAAGTAGAGACTGCTTTCCCCACTTTGGAGCCTGTATGTGGCTTTTCCATTTAGGTACGGTCAATCTGCCCAGGCACTATCTGGTGCGGGTACTACCACGCCCACCGCGGACGACGTTCCTTACAACGCAATTTTTGAGCGACACCAACAGCATCACCAGCGATCGGTCTCCCTGTCCTCTCCATTGTCATCAGCCTCTCAGGCAATTGTTTGGTTCTCCTACTAGTACTAGTAAAAATATTTGCAAACTCACGATCATTAAATCTTAAAGATGCTAGTCAGAAGATTTTTAAGCTTGATCAAATTACCTGGATTGTTCCTTTGTAGCTACCTCGACTCAAAACACCAGAAAATGTTGGTACTATTGGCTGATTTTCAGTTTGCCTTTGATGTTTTGGTCAAATTTTCCACGTGTAACTACGTGAGATTGTTGTTTTTTGCCCGTATTCGCAGAACAACTACCTTACTTTAAAAAAAAGGAATTTTGTAGCACATTCGAAAGTCGCATCAGATGGCCACTGAAATTTGGATGTACCATTAACTAGCCATTTGATGTCTTTGTTTGTCGTGTTTATTGTGGTTTTTATGGTGGTTTCATTTATTTCCTCATACAACGATATGACCAAACGCTTTTTGCAGCACATCAACCAATAACTCCCAGGTATCCTAAAGTTTGTAAATTCCGGTGCTATTTAAGTCTTCTAGCAAGCACCCTCCTCCTGTGTCCCTTCATTTAGGGCTTCAGCTGTCCACGAACTACATTGAGTGACCTGCCACACCTCTCACGTCATTATAGAGGTTGGGCTTTTCGTTAATTTCCGCTATCTTTATCCACTTGATGTCTATTTTTATGTGCTTTTAGCGACCCATCGCCGAAGCTCTTTTACGACAAGAAGTTGAGATCGACGCACCAGCTAGTAAAGGTTACGCGTTTGCTGGCATCAGAACAATTTTCGACCATCACAAAGGTATACTATTATTCAGTGATTCAGTATATTTGGCGTCACTATGTGTACTCCAGCAATGCTTTAGCTTACCATTTAATATCAGTACATATCTAGGAGTTATTACGTGTAGGGTGATGCGATCACTCTTTGACATGCACAGAAGCCTAAACCACGTTTCGTTAACTATTCGGACACAAGTCTAGTCTCAAGTTATGCAGAATTTGGCCAAATGCACCAGTAATTTGGCATATTAAGTACAGTGCATTTCGAGTGGATTCATTAAGAGAGGCGTCACTGATTAACACTGTAGGCTATTTGGTGCTAATAGATAAAGTCGTGGGTTTTGCCACATAAAAAGACATATATCGCCTCATCCACCCTGTAAGGCATGTCAATCTATTGGATCGCAGCCTCTCTTTTAATTTTTTGTTTCATTTGGTCGATAATTCTAGATTCTATTACACGCATTCGGTTTGCTCACAACGACTCGCATCGATTAGCAATCGCTTCCGCGGATGGCACTGCGTCGATCTGCCACATTTCAGATGTCGATTCGGCCCCCCACCGAATAGACTACTTAGAATCTCCTACATCTCAAACAGGAGACTCTACGGCGGCTGCCTTGATGGATGTGGCGTGGTCACTGGCGAACACATTTGTGGTGACCGTGAGTTTAGACGCATCTCTCTGCTTGTGGGACATGGAGAAGCGAGGCTCGCTCGCACGCCACCTCCGTCAGGTCGCATCCCCCAATGCCAGTCTACTTGTTTGCGAATTCCATCCCGTCAATAACAATTACATTGTAGTCGGCGATACAATGGGCTGCGTCCAGGTTCGCTAAGTTTATTGTACGACCTTGTGGGGCTCGATTCTTACTAGATATGGGTTAAGATTTTGACCTGTAATCTGTCACTCTTCAACTACGTACCTACTGTTAACTGTGACATTGGATCTGTAAATATCGTTCTAACTGGCGAATCTATAAGTAGTGTTCTTTTGTACCATTGGGCAGAATTCCATCTTAAATGGAGCACCGCCCTATAAAATTTTGCGGAAAAACGCTCTACCACTTTGACCTATGTATCAACACACCTTGAATGAGCAGTTACATTCCAACGGTGCGGGTAGGCGTGTTTTGCCCAATTGAGCTTGTCCAAGCGGAAAAAATCTGAAATCTCCACTAAAGCAGCACACAATTTCCACTGCCATCTGCACTTGAGGCGTCCACTCAATTAAATCGTCATAAACAGTTTGCTTCCTCTCATAAGTTACTTGCTGTTAGCTTATTGCTATAATTGATTTAGTCATATAAAAAAATGAAAAATAAGAAGTATTCATCGACTTCCGAGGCGTCTGAAGGCAACTTAGCTCAACCTGTCGTTATAGCCATCTTATTTTCATACAGGTAACGTTTCAGTAACCAAGGCGATATTTCCCTCGCCTACCAGCTTTCAGATAGGCATGCTTCCAATTTTTTATGACCATTCAAAAGCGAGTAAGTTGACTCAAGACTCTTTGTAGGTCATCAACTTGTCAACCGGCCATGTAGTAAAAAACGGTCGAGACAAGCTCCACACCCCACCGCCAATGCGAATTAAGCTGCCTCCATGCCGCAACCGGACTGACCTCTCCCATTATCTTGGTCGCGGTTGTATCACCGCCCTAGCTTTTGATCCCCAAACTTGCCGCCTCTGGGTTGGTACTGACCTGGGACTAATTCAGGCCTACAAGTGTGATGAATCAACAGGCTGCCTATCGCGAACTTCTCGATTCAACATCCCCACTTCTACACCCTTTCTACCCAGCATTACCAGTCTGTCTTTTTGTGCGTGGCTTAGCCACGAAGACAGCTCACGATACCTCCTAGTGAACGCTGCTGGGGTAGGACTCATTCTCTATCGCGTATTCTCGAATGATGGGCGGCTGTGCCTCCACAGACATTTTGATCTTGCGCACTCCCCCCTTCGCAATCCACCATCTAGCAACTACGGCCTTCACTTACTTCACTCATGCTTCGCCCCCCTTATTTCGTTTCGGTCCTCAGGATCTACCTGCGTCGTCTCAGCAAGTGAAGAACGAGGAGCTGTTTACGTCTTCGAAGTGAATACTTTGAATTCGAAATCCGATAATGAAGAAAGACGAAGCAATGCAGTGATTACTTGTCTGCAAGGACACGATTGTGAAGTTGGTCGGACCGTTGTCGATGTTGCCTTGAGCTGGGATGAAAACGTGCTTGCATCGGCTGATGAATCCGGCGTAGTCATCATCTGGAACCGAGTATCTGCGAAGTAAAGCCATCATGATGATGAAAAGCATAGGCTGTGACGATGTTTTGATAAATTATACATTACTTATTGCGAGTTTTAGTAGAAATCTCATTTTCAATCACTTAATGCACAACCAAGACATCAACATTCGCTGATTAGCTGGGGAGGGCGAAACACTGTGCGACGGCGGTAAACTGCGAACCAGTTCGAACGTAGCTTGTCACCCACAGTGGTAAGAAACCTGATAGCAAAACGCATGAATATAGTCGAATGACAACGTGGAAGTATTGCCTTAATCTGGTTGGATGCAGGAAATCAAATTCTTATTGACCTGACGAGTTACGAAGATTTAAACAGCGGTGTAAAGAATAGTGACATTACACCGTAACCCAAAAGTTGTTCTCTAAACTTTCGAAAGGAATTTCGACAACGTTGGCATCGAGCCGCCGGGTGGTAATTGTACCAACTTTTTAGTTGTCTGAGTATTAACTATTCATATAATCGTTTCGAAGAAGCATCAATCAATGCACACAGAAGGCACGCTAAATCACCCCTTAAAAAAAACTGATTACCTGTCAACTATCCTGAAGCTGTCGAGGAAACAATTACAAAAGGTTGGAATTGATGGCCCACCATAGTTATTATGTGCTATCTAGACCATTTTCCCCAATTGCTTGACTGCCTACCGGGCGATCCAAAAGCGTAGTAGCAAAATCTGATCTTTGCGCCCTCTCCGACCCCCACGTGTAGGAAAGCGGCGCATACACCCCTCACTATACTTTGTTCCGGATCTGGGGGAGGATTCGACTACGACATCCCGTCTCGCTGCAGGTCTATCAAATTCTATTTGCGAAGTTATTGCCGTTGCTATACACCAAATAATGTCGGACAATCATTACAAGCCCCAAAGTTACTTCAAAAAAGCGTGATTTGTTGAGACCGATTTATTTAGCACCACAGAGGTGCTAGCAGTGATTACAGGTAACGGCCGTTTCGAGCGACAAAAACAACCACATTAATATGTACAGAAGCAAGTGTTCACTCATTTGAACTGCACGAAAAGCCCAGTTAAAATTCACGTCTGTGATATTTGTTAGGGTCGTAAAATGAAGTGACCACAAGGCGGTTGTCGAACTTGCGTCCTGTTAATGCTGTAGCCGCCTTCTGACAGTCAACAAGACTCGCGAACTGGACGAATATTTTGCCAACACCCGGAACTTCAACTCCAGGAATAGGTCGAGGAATCTCCACACTACTAACGATTCCGTACTTGCTGCATTCCGTCCTCACGTCCTCCACAATGTCCTCATACTCCTCATCATTACCTAGTTCTTCAGGATCAACCATGTTCAGGAGACATAAGACTTCAGTGGGTGGTCCACCAGAACGGAAAATAATATTTCCAGAACCCGTGGTGTTTTGTACCAGTGCGTCATTAAGACCAGGTACTTGAATAAGAGGTGGAGGCATGGCTCCGCCGGCGTTCTTGGCACCAACGCTAGCACGCTGAACAATAAGCTTCTTGTCACCCAGTAGCATTCCGTTTAGCCCAGCACAGGCATGATCGGTTACATGCGGATCAACATACTCACAGAAAGCATATCCTTTTGAGAGACCAGTTGAGCCATCCTTGACTAAATTAAACCCTCTCAGTGGGCCAAAAGTAAGAAGCAGCTCCTTTACTTGATCCTCATTTAGATAATTTGGGAGACCACCTACAAAGATCTTGTGTGGGGAATCTTGAACGACTGTGCTCACAACCCCCGGAACAATAATCGATGGAGTTTCGCTGACACCCGGTAACGGGGCGTAATCACGCGGCCTGCGTAGTTTCAGTGCTTGATTATTAAATACAACACCGTCAAGGGCCAATCCCTGCGTAGTCTCATCCACGGAACGAAATTCCAGAAACGCAAAGTTCTTCTCCATGTTGATTTGGACAGCAATAATTGGATTTCCCTCGGCTTGAACGAGATTCTGAGCTTTCATTTGCTTGTTGAAAAAATCCATCATATTTTCTTCAGTTGCGGTGAAAGGGATGTTGCCTACGTAGAGACGCCGAGCCTGTCTACATACTGCGCTTCCCGCAAACGGAATATTAGTATTGAGAGTGAGTGGTGCATTTGGAGTAGAGGCTGGCATGGGTACCTGACCGGCTGCGTAAACGTTGACAGGTATTTGACCGGACGCTTGAAGTGCTTTATACTGCTGCGGAGTCATATGCTCAAAGCCTGGAGGCGGGACATCCCAATATTTGTAAACAATGCGGCGGCTTGAGGAACCCGAACGTTCCCGAGACCGGTGACGCCTGCGATGCCTATCACGTGAACGACTGCTGGACCGACGACGGCGTCCGCGACCGCTGCTACGAGACCGACGACGATCACGCTTACGTTCGCGATCACGACGGTCGTCTTCGCCATCTTCATCGTAGCGCCTTGTAACTTCGTGTTCACCATCAAACCTTTAAACAAGAACATAAACTCGTACATACAATAAGAACAAAAACAAGCTTTTAACACCATAATTATCAAAAGGCAAAAAAAATCCAAGCCACCTGATTTCAAACGTAACTCCGACCTGAAAATGAAGTTCTCAGAACTTTAAACGAACTGCACCTATGAATAAGATTTGCAGTATGAAAAAATAGTTTAGAAATTAAGACGTTCTGTGAGGTTTACACAGATCTTACCTCCTAGCATCACTTTCCCTTTCTGCGTCCCGAGCGTCATTAACTGCATCCTCAGGAGGCGCAAACGAACCGTTATCTCCAGAACCCATGCCTTGAACTGGTGCGTACGAAGCGTAATCTTCCATCTGCTTCAATATTGACGTGTGAACCTAAAATCAACATTTCAGAAAGTGGGCTAAAATGGAGAACAGAGTGTAAATTGATGTACTCATTACGCAGTCATAGTTTCGAAGCCAAATTCTATAGTACAACAAAACACAAGTAAAACAGGCTACAAATGATCGGGAAAAGTGATTTACAAGCAGATCGAGCCTGCGAAATACCTACACAAAGGCTAGGATGCCATACCAGTTAAGTATCTATGACGGCAAACCAACCTGAATGTTATCTACTAAAACATGGATTTCCGAGCTAAAAAGTTTGGCGAGTAAAGTTACTTAAGTAATACAAAAAGTCAGTACATTTTTACAGATTAAATTCCAGAAACCTACTAACAAAACAGGTCGAACGACGAAACCGAAACTACCCTTACTTGAACCTCCACACAAGTTCTGACGTAGTAAATTAAACAACAATTAAAAAACTTGCGCATTTTGTAGACCAATGCAAGAACCTAATCTAAAATTTCGTACCTGTTTACTGGTTTTCTTAAGTCAATTAAATACATCAGATTCTGAGCCTTATGGTGAAATTTAACATATTGCTGTTGTTAAGCATAGATAAAAATGTTTTGTATATCACTAGTCCATTGAGAGAAAAAGAGACTTTAAGGCCTTTATGGGATTTTTGAGTATTCGAGTTACTTCATTATTTATAATTTTTAAACTCTTTCGAAATTTATAAATTGTGGCATCTAGGACTTGAAAATCATCCCTTGTCAAAAAATTATTTTATAATTTTGTTTGATGCAAATCTTGCCCTTGATTTTAAATTCCATTTTTGCAAAGTGGTTAAAAGAGTCTGTATACATTCAGTGGTTTGTCATAATACACAGGCATCAAACGGTCAACCTTTGTCCTTACTTTTGAATTTGCTTCGTCAGTAATTGGAAGAGTTGAGAAGCGTATATTTCAACATTTCCTCTCTTACAAAAACAGGTTTTTTAGAATGCGTACTTTAAGCGTATTTTCCGAATATCTCAGAGAAAATTAAACTGAAATTGGGAGAATCCAACTTCTTCTATAAAAGGAATGCGTGTTAACATTCGGCAATATATCGATTGATTTTGGTCATTACAATATAGCACTTTACGCATACTACAAATAAAGATGCAGTTTTTGTAAGCTTATATTGCTTACTAACTTTAAGAAAATGTTTCGCCTTTTGCAGGCGGTTTTTTACATAAACATAACTGAATGTTTATTTTAAACTCTAAAATTTCATGATTGTAGTTTGGACGTTAATAATCAAAATCGGTGCTTGTTTAAAGAGAAAATATAGTTCCTTTTGTCCTTGTCACATTGTGGAAGGTTATATGTACAAAGTGTCCGACCATCCAGTAAACACGTTCATTGTGTCTAAGATTTGAGATTCTGATTACATTTCGTGACAACATGTGACAGCAGGTCAAAATGATTTTTTTTTGTAATAAATCACAAAGTTCTTCGAAATAAAAAGTTCTTCTGCTGTTTAATGTATCAAGGTTTTTTTGATTAACCTAGGACTTAAGCTGCCCATGCCTTTGGTATTTTACCTTTAAGTGTTTATTTATCCGGTGATTTAACTCCCATTCTTTACAATTTGTATACTGAACGAAATGTGATTAATTTCAAATGTTGTTCAAATTGTTCATAGCAATTAGCCGACTTTTTTCTTGCATACTGTCTAACATTTGAGGTTTGCTCGGTTCACTGCAATAATATTGTTATGTATTTCACATACACATCCTTCAACGTTCATGGCATAATAATGAGCATATTCTGCTTCATAAAAAAGTTTTAACAATTCTTATTAGTTACTTGTGTTATCCGGCGTCATCATGAAAATTGTCTAAAGTTCAATAACATATAATAATAATAATAATAGTGGATCGAATTTGTTAAACAGAACCATTTGGTCTTAGAGATTGTCAAATTTTGCCTGATAGAAGTCAGAAAATATAAAGAACTTGAAAGGCTGCTGAAGTAAGGGCTCCGAAATGGATTAAAAAGTGAAAGAACATTTGTCAAAGTCGTGTATAATCTGTTATCAACGTTAAGGAATAAGAATCTTAATGGTGATCCATTATCATTCCACGCTCGTTCTTAACATAATAGGACTAAAATAATATTTGCAATTATGCTGTTGAGATCGATGACAGCCATGGCGCACCGCGCAAATTTTGATGACAATATACTTTATCATTAAAAAAATGTTGTGGAAAAAAGTTCAAGGCAGACTAGGAAAAAATGTCAAAACAAATTTTATTGTAGTCTATGGCTTGAGAAATTATACACACTGGGGCTAGGAAGGTGTTTTTGCCTGGTTGGGCCACACTTATGTCTCCTGAAATTTATTTAGGCTAAAAAGTGCAAACACTAAACCAGTAATTAAAGGAATCAACACACTTACGTCCTCTTTCCGTGCGTGTTAAGAACCATGAGTGACAAAGAATATTTCGACCCATAGACTTTGAGTGAAGAATTTGAAATACGAATGACGTAATGGCCAGATGAGTGCAACGATTAACAAGAAAGATACATTTACAAAGTGCTATATGCAAAGTACTGCTGAAGGTGGGCACGTGTAAAAGCAAGCCTGTGTGTTTTCTTGTGGGGTGACCGAATTAACAGAGCTAAGATTATACGCAGAATTACTGGATTTTCAATCGTCAGTTTGTTGCAAAGAATCCATAATCAAGTAAAAACTAGCATTTTTAAGAAAACACATAAATTTACAAACAAAAAAGCAGTAGGAAAAATATGTCTTTGCCAACAAAATATTTTCATGAAAACATGCTAATTCGTCACAAGTTGACAAGTTTATTGCGAGCTACTTCACTATTGTCCATTAAATATTTGCGATTTTTCACACCTTCCCCTCTTTGCGCGAAAAGGCAAGTGTTCTGCCTTATACATAAGGCTATAAAGACTTTTGAAAATAATCGCTCACAGGACTCCTTTTAACTTTTAAATAACATAAAATGGGTCACATATTTTGGGCTTTTAACTATGCACTAAATAAAATTTGCTACATTTTTGAAGTAGTATTAAAGCACTTTTATACGTCTGCCCTTGCTATCCAGCCTGAAATATATTTGCACTGCTTGTTTATATCATCTAATGTGTAATTTCGGCAAAATGTCCTGGCCTTACGGTGGTTCCTCTGGTGCATTTCCTTATCTGTACTATTATGTAAGTCTGTTTCGCATTCTAATGTATTGTTTTAGCCCTATGGTTATAATTATTCCGGATATAATAACGCTCCGACGTCTGGGGCTACTGATTCATCTAGTGATTCTGTGCAGAATCCCCCGCCTCCTGGTCTAGCCTCCGATGGTTCCACGGCTCCGGTTGCACCTACTTCTCCCCCTTCAGTCGCTCAGCCAAGCAACGTTCCTTGTAGTGTATATACTGTTCCTCGATATCCTGCATCGCAGTATGGGAATGACCCCGCCTTGGATGCTGCACAAAGATGGAATGCTATGAACTGTTCCTACTGGGGCTATCAGTCTCCGGTGAATATGGGCGTAGGTGTGTCTGCCACACCTTACTTTGCAACATCTGGTCCACGGTTCCCTGGTCAGAGTGGTTTGAACTCTCCTGGAAGTAATACTTTGAATTTTCAACAAACTCCGAATGGAACTCCCTACTCGGTATACCCAGGTCCAAAACCTCAAAGCCCGAGCACACCAGTGGTCAATAAACCAAAAACACTCTCAGATTCTGCTGGTGGTGAGAGTAGGTGGAGTCCTGAGCTGAAGTAAGAGTTTTTGTTTCGTATTAATTCTGTACTAGGGACTATGTGCATCGTTCGTTCTGCAGTGCGGACACACCTATCGAAAAGGATCAAATGGAGAGAATCCTACGCGAAAAACTCGAGTATGTTTTTCGCAACAAAATCGTCGTCGACTGGTCAAAGGAACCTATTCCGGTTATACCTAGCAAGTCTCTAGCTGCTATTCAAGCCGCCGCAAACAACTCATCAATCAAGTGAGATTTTGTTTATGGAAATCCGCATAATTGTATCCCATATTTCCGAGCATTCAAAGATGGTCGAGTAATTTCTGTCACTGCGTCTATTCGTGTTTTACTCGATTCCTGCAATGGCAAGTAGTTAGTAATGTGGTTCCCCTTGTTTTGTCCTGTTAGTGTGGTTCGGCCGGTTTCATTACAACCCCGGCGACCGCGTGGTCGACTTTCCGGACATTTGCCGACCGGTACATTGGCTAGGAATCAGCTGACCTCAGGGCTTTCTGTCAAGTCTGAAGTCCTTGCGAAACCCACCCATGCCGTTTCATCACTAAGCTCTAACAGTCGAACCACAGATTCAGAGGCTCTGAAGACCACTGAGCCATCCAAAAGAAAAAGACCCTCAGTGGATCGTAGTAGGTCTTTGTCGTCGTCGTCTTCATCACCAAACAGAAACGACGTTCGCCACCAAAAACGCGGAGATAAAAGAAAATGGCAACAATCTTCTACCAGACGAAGTTGTAAAGGTCGGAAGCTTCGTCGAATGCCCAGTACAGACAATGATCACTTAGCAAACGACCGGTGCGTACTTCGCAAATTAATCGTCTTTTAAACAGAGGTGGACATAAGTCATACGTTTAGTTAATGTAGTGCTTAAACTTTCATCTTAGTTCCCTTATTTGCTCATCATAAAAAGTCGTGGAACAAATTACGATGACCATCTTATTTATGACGCCCTTGATTGGTTTTCGCCATAAATAGCGCGCTAGAGTTATTCTGTGTTTTTCGTTGTTCGTCTAGTATGGCATGTTTCCATCAACTTATATTAAAAGGAATCAGCAGCACGCTCTTTTGTCTATCACAGAGCCAACACAGACGAATCGGATACCACAACGTTATCATCCTCTCAGGGAGGCTCTCCAAAGTGCCAACGTGATGGGAATAAAAAGCGAAGTGGTTGGGATCGTCGTAAAAGTTCAACTAACAACTCTTCACCTTCTAATCCAACCCCTTCCGCAACAAGTCGTGGAGGAAGACGAGGCGCTTCAAACGCTGCTCGTGGTCGTGGCGACAAATCCGCTACTAATGCACGCTGGGCTGCTCCTGAAACAACACAACATCGGCTGAGTCAACGTGCTGATCGTTTCAAGGACCATCTGGGTGCAGGATCTATTGCAAAGTCTACTAGCCAGTTGAGTCTGCTCGCCAGTGTCGATGATACGGATCTAATGTCTGAGCAGCTGGAACAATTCAGCATCGTTGGCACCATGCAGGAGCTTGAGAAACCATACTTGCGCTTAACAACGGTAGTTTTATATCTTCTGAAACCTACTCTGTATGTCACAATCAGACTTAACTCGGATCTTATCTGCTTAAGATCTTAAGTAACTTCAATGCCCCATTTGTATTCCGTACGATATTTGTCTTACCTATTGCCCAAGTAATTAAATAAGAGAGCAAATTTGGTCTCATGCTTGTACTCGGGTGTTGTTCTTCATTTTAAAAAAAAATTGTACTGTGACATTTAATGTTTTTCGTTTCGTGTATATTAGTGGTCTCTTCTATTAAAAACTTTTTAATTATTGTGTTTCAAAGATTCCAATATTTATTAATTCCGAGTTTTTACCTCAGGCTCCAGATCCGGCCAACGTCCGACCACCAGAGGTTTTAGAAAAGGCCCTTGTTCACGTCAAGCAGCGGTGGAAGGAACGTGGTGACTACTTATGGGTGTGTGAACAGCTCAAGAGCATTCGTCAGGATCTTACTGTGAGTGTGAAATATTGCCTTTCTTCACTTGGCAGCATTTCGCGTAACTCATAATCTCTCTTCATTTAGGTTCAGCGTGTCCAAACGGAGATGACGGCAGAAGTATATGAAGCTCATGCGGTCATCGCCCTTGAAGCCGGTGATTCCCAAGAGTTTCATCAATGTCAATCCCAGCTTTCTTTACTCCACGCCGAAGGCTTCGGCTCAACTCGCCGTCTAGAATTCACGGCCTACCGTCTTCTTTATTATATTTTCACTCAGGACTACTTAGGTAGGACTGTATACTTGACACTTTTACTTCCGCAGTCAATTTGAAGTTTATATGCTTCAGCTGAATTTTTTTTTCTCGTTTTTCTTCACTTCCAATTAATGTCATCTATTTCAAATTTTTTACTAAAGGGTCGTGAGAATCGGACCCTAATCTAATTTGCTATCTACTAAGGTATCGAATTTGCGAAGGAAAATTTTTCAGCAGTTTTTTTTTCTTTTTAGGTATTAGTACGCTGCTTGCGTCCTTAAAAAGTGCACAGAAGGCAAACCCTTACATTCGATTCGCTCTACAAGTTCGTGAAGCCTGGGCTCTTCACAATTATAAACGCTTTTTCCACCTTGTTTGCAGTTCTGACGCTGTGGCCCTCCTTGAAACCGAAGAAGGCCAACTGCGTGGTTGCCGACAGGTCCTAGCTTGGTCTCTTGACAGAGAGCGAAAAAAAGCCCTTAAGACCATCCTTAAGGCGTGCGTAATCTCCTATGGTTATCTGCTTTTGATTAACCAAACGCTTAGACATTGCAGCACGCACTTTTGTTTGTCGGATAACAAGTGTTATGTAAGCTTCACAGAAGTGGGACACCTCTTAGCACTAGTAGGTCTGGGGGGGTGCTGCTATTATTCCTCAATTTTGTCTCGAGTTGTTGGTATGTGATGATTTTCTAGTGAATTGAGGCGCTACAAGTCGGCCCTCGCAAATTCGCTCTCATAGGGCCCTATGAAAGGTAAGTTAATTGAAGTGTTCTACGTGTGGATGCCCAGTGAACATCGACGCTTTGTGTTGTAATTTATGAGGCCAAAGAGGTCAGAGACGCTCCTCTAGGGACCAGTCATTCGTAATTTTAGTTCCTTATTTTGTGTTTTCGTTAAGACAGGTCGCTGGTAGAAACAACTGTTGCTTCCCCTACTTTACAAACATTTTTCGCTATTATTTCTGTCTACTGTCACCTGGATATTTTATTGTTAATCTGTCCACATTTTTTCGTTTTTCATTCCCCGTGAACCGTTCTTTTTGGAAAATTCTGCTCCCTCGCCTTTCCCCTCATCTTCCAATGCCATCTCCACCTGTCTTCGGGCCCCTGCAGTTATCGTCCAACATTGAGTTTGGACTTTATCACCGAAATCCTGGGTTTTGAGAGTCTCAAGTCGTGTGCTGAGTTCATGACTCAAGAGCTAGGTGTACCCGTCACCAGCGTGGAAAGTGTTGAAAAATTAGACTGTAAGATGATTTGGTCCCAATTGTGCAAATCGGGTGTTGCAGCCGCGGACAACCACTAGCTGGGCTTATGATAATTTAAAGTTTTTTCAAACCCTTGTGAATGTTCCCAAGCTCTAGCCCACGCAACCCTCCGGTTTTCCGAGACCAAATTGGTGACCTTCCGGAATTCTAAACGCCAACCAGGTCGTCCGCTGTGGTATACATCCTTCGATTTTGTACAGGATAGTGTATATACATACATACGTATATTTTTTAAGTTAGTTGAAATTAGTCTGCCAAGGCAGACCATTTTACCAAATAAATCTTGACCGTCATAAATCATTGCTGTTCTTGTTACTTGGAAACTCCAATATCTAATTGGGGATGTCCGGGGGGAATTGGTTCTATTTAAAAGCAGAAGAAATTGTGTCCACTCGAGTAAGAATCCCCTCAAGTCTTCCGTTGTGTAAAATCGCCGGCCTCTTAAAGTGCATTGTCATGACGATGACGGTGGTGGTATGTGTGGATTTTCCTGCATTAATAGGTCGTACACTGGTATCATAAAACAACCAACACGAAGTTCTGGGCAGGTCGCCAATAAGTATGCTTATTTAATTAAACTTCTCGACACGATTTAGTGTCGGCGGTCGTTTGACGCATCTCTGCGGGACCAAGGTCTTTGGTTTCCGAGAGATATTACTCAGACTGCTCTGTGATTAATAACAACGCAGGTGGCCATTAACCATGCTTTGATACAATGCAAGTAGTAGAGCATTTGGTTTGCTTATCTGAGGTTTTAAAACCAGCGAAGACTTGTCGTTTGACTTGCTTGTAGAAATGGTGGCTGCATCCGTTGTGCCGGTTTACCTATCAAATGTGTTTTTAGAATGATGCCTTGGATGGGGTGATCTTTCTGGCGAGGTTCGTTCCTATGAGGTGTTCAAATAGCACGTTTTCACTTGCACGCAGGTGTTAATTTTGATTAACAACTGGGTTTGCACTGTACAATATTCAGTTGCGCCAGATCGAATCCACAACTGATATCGTGGTGGTGAGAAAACTGTACTGAAGAGGTGTTTTTTGACACCACATTGTGCGCTAAATAGATATTTAGTTCATCAGATTTATGTTTTCTTTACTTGAGTGTAGATGATCTGATAGTGTTGTATGTGAAGAGTTTAAAAAGCAAGCAAAATTTTATCATGATTTTTCTACTCCACGGGATTTTACTCTTGGCTTCAAGCGATGGGACTATTTTAGAACCTACAACAGTCCTCTGCTGAGTCACCTCAAATTCGATGTAGATTTAGACAAATAGGATCGCGGAATTAATTGTTGCCCTAGCGTCGCATTTACTGGGAACATTTCCTGATACCACCCCCCCCATGTTTACTGTGTGGTGCCATTTTTCGTTTTTCTAGTTCAAATTTCCCTAGTGCCTGTGCCCAAATATTGCATGTGATGTGGCGCCATTAAGTCTCGGCTCATCTAGCACACGAAAAAGGCACCATAAAATGCTTCATACGTAGAGGTGCGCAAACCTCACTGGCGATATGCTTTCGTTGGTAGTGACGCGAAGCTGGGATAACGAGGCTCAGGATTTTCTCGGAAAAGTAAGAAACCTGTGCGGCATTTGTTTTTTCTCAAGAAATCTTTAAACGACTTAATCTCGTGCGGTGTTGATAACAATTGTGAATATGCCCGCGACAGGCATATCACCAGCGCCGACACCGCCCAGTTGTCAGCTCACATAAAAGGCCTTTTTCCAATGCGTAGTCTCTTTTCTCAACCCCAGGTTTTTATATTTTATGCATGGACAGTTGCTTTACACCAAGGCAAACACCACGCCTTATTTCCCAACGCATTGCTCGAAGCACTCCGGTCTTGTCGACTTTCAGCTCACGAACCTGCTTGTGGATACCCGTCAGGTTTGAAAATCACTGAAGTGTCAATTACCAATGCGCCTCTGCAACATGAACACCCCGCAATCTTGTTCGATTACAAAATTTCATCTTGGCACAGTCACTAACTGTTCTGGATTTCTCAATATAAAATGGTACTGAATTAATCAGAAATGGAATGAACGGCCCACCTTTAAGGTACTATTCTAACTTAAAACACCGTTGGTAGAGATCTTACCAAAAGTAAACATCCAACGGAAATATCAGAGGAATATTTCACTTTTTGGTTTCTAATCAATACTGTTGATTACCCGTAGGATTGTGGTAGAGACCGAGGCTTATTCCGTGTCCATTAATGTTCTGACAAATTGCCACCACATCAAGATTTCAAGTTACCCATCATAAAGTAGATCAGCTAGCAAAATCAGTGCAGGCGTGCAATCATACGCAGGCCTTTTGTCTTTACTATGAGCACTTGGGGAATTCTGATCTCGATTAAGATTGAATGCGCCATCAGAAATGAAGTCTTTGGGCCTTCGATGGCCTCACAATTGTGTGAGTCGGGCTCAGGAAATATGTATTCATCAGCTACTAAAATGGGTTGCTTTAAAACTTCTTTTTTCTCCCTGAGTCATAGTGCCCACGACGAGCAGTGATCTGCACTTGGGGTGAATTCTCCAGATTTGGCCAATGCAACCTTAACCCGGTAGTCAGCCGATCTTGGTCATGCAATATGACTTGCTTCGTTGAATGATGACAATGAAAAATTAAAATAAATGTTATTCACATAACACGGCTTTGGATGAATATCTAAAGCAAGCATGGTTATGTGTAAACCAATCTTAGTTAAGGTGGCTGGTGAATGATTTCAAGCAATAGGTCTTGACTTCATTTAAAACATCCTACATGAAAACTTTCAATGATGTGGGAAGCTGTAACATACTTTACAGTTGCCATCCAAACCACTGAATCAGACGTAAGGAAATGCATCATCTGTATATTTCTATAAAATCTGAATGTAGTAGTACTAGCACTGGCCCACATCAAAATCGTTACTTTAAGCATCATTGTTTAATTAGATTATAGCCAGACCACCTGCAGGCTCTCCGACCCAATCAGACTGGTTTTAGTTCAATACACCAGGATGGTAGTTGTACGTATTTATAGCAGTCCTTTGGTACGCTTGATATCTCCTCTGATGATGGGTAACGGATTAGTGCGCGCGCAACTACGGCACCGTGGCATCCTGCTTGCAAAACTAGGATATGTCATACTTCTACCTAGGCATCATAAAACTACAATTCTTTTCCCGAAAGGGAGAGTTTTGTCAATTGCCTGGGACACCTTTAAAACATTGGGATTTGTAAGTCTTGTGTGAAAGGTCTTCAAAAAAGGAGACGAGTTTATCGCTATACCTTCCTACGACCAACGGAGAAACTTATGTAGGCGATAAATTTTGATGCTGGACCAGCGCACATCTGTAGGTCAAAACCACCTTTTTCAATAGAAAAAAAGTTGACCAAGCAGATTTGTTTGCATATATTCTACCAGCTTAACTTATTATCGGGAGTATAACCCAGAAAGCGTCCTAGTCGGAAAATTAGAAGTCAAACTGACGAGTCACCAATATGTTTTCCTTTCACCCGATGATAAACATTTATAAGTCCGACTTACAGGATTACCGGAACGATGTGAATAATCAACCTTCTGCTTAACGCGTTTGTTGCCAAATCTACCTGATCAACCGAAAATCCGGCATTTCATTGTTCGTTTTTTTTACGATCAATTCTAATTAAGAAATGCCAAAACGTGTTGTGAATCGTGTTTATTCACACCCTTTAATGCAGTCGCGCCAGTCTCCGACACCGGTCTCCCTTTTGGTCATCAACCCCCCCCCTCATTCACACTATTTATCTTGGATTATCCTCACACATAGGTCTCCATGTTGGCGCATGTTACGACTCACACATTCGAGGTAATAAATACACACGCGCAAACCCCACACACGACACAACGACACCAGTTTCGGTTGAGCTCCGAAGTAGACGGTTGTGTCCCGTCCTCTCCAGTCTTTTCCTTCATCGCGGGCATCAGGCAAGCGTAATCAGGCCAGGGTTAATTCCGTGGCCCCGGCGTGGTTCAAGGCCACATGCTGGGGCCCACAACAAACGCTTAGAAATTAGGTAATGTTAAGGATTGCTAGGTTCAACTGAGTGGTCATGCATTGCCTCGAGTAGAATTAGGAAAATTAAACTTTGCCAAATACATGAAGTAAGTGGAGTAATCAAAGGAATAGAAGTGAGTACCTGCATCTTCCTGCGGTAATAAAGAGTAACCATAATGACAGCAAAATATCATCACCTCTAAATGTTGGCCAATATGTAACCGAACCCTAATTACTATTAAAACTCACAAATAAGTGTAACTAAACGTCGTAAACATTGCACGATGTTGCAACTGTTTTTCCAAATAACGGTTTACGTTGCTGCACAATTATTACCAGGTACCCACTTGGGCTACTCTGAGTATGGTAAAGACCTGTCTCAAAGTTCATGAGCCAAGGTGTCGGTTCATTGTCTAAGATAGACGTGTGACGTCTTGTTATGTTGACAAGCGCTTGTTACGTAGATTTATTCATAGACTAAGTCCCATGAATGAGGGGATATGGCGAAGGTAGGAGTTCCTATACCAACGAGACTCTCTGAATACCAGATACTTAGCCGAAACAATTAGTCTCATTTTATTAACTTTCGGCTGTTAATTGTACTTTACTCTGCACGTTGTAATGGTGAACTAAATGGTGAAAACTATGAGCATTTACTAGATCAATGGAAATTGGGTGCATTTGGTACGTTGCACATTCATTTGTTAGCTGCTGAATTGGTAGTGGTGATCTTAGCAATAACTTTCAGGTTATGGCTTACAGTATTTTGGTGATTATTCTAATCGGGCGATTAATGTCATAACCAGTTTTGAACCTTTTGACACGTGATACATGCCTAACCGGTGTTTAACAGATGTTTCTCAAACTACCACAACACCTAAGCTGTCAATATCGAATCAGACAATAACTTAAGACCATAAAACTACACAATAGTTTACCGGCTAAACGTTAAGAACTACACACACGTGTGTCGGTGGTTATTGGTTGCCCACCTTTACAAGCACGGACATCGCCTGCTGTTGCTATAAAATTATCAACGCAGTTCTTCAGCGGGGGCTGGTTGGTATTCTTCGTAAGGCCTACAGCCAATTTAGCGTTTACGTGCTTTAATAAAATGCTGGTGAAAGAAATTTTTAGACGATTGATGAAGCTCCTGCTCAAGAAGGAGTGCTAAATACCACGCGGTCGAAGTCACATGACAAACACCAGGCTCGCGCTACAACGTCAGTGTTACAAGGTCTAAACCATCCGCGCCCTCAATGTCGAGACTTTTAACATAGGCCGACCAAGATGATTACTGGACGGAAAAACGAGCCATGTGTGCAACCACGCATACACTGCACTCGCGCGTGTTCGTGCAATAATATATTCACATATTGCGTGAGCTATAGTCCAGGGTGCACAATCAGGTACGTTATCCACAAGTTCATGGCTGAAGCTGTGCGCAGTTGTACGAAGGCCCGCTAGGTAGGTGTGTCTAATAAAAGTAGGGTAACTATCAGAGGAAGCATGCGAATCAGAGTTCATAATAGTTACATCATATTACTGGACGCCCACATAAAACCAGATTACAGAGCAAGACTTCTTTGTAGGCCAAAGCGACCACAGGATTACGAAGCACGATACACACGAGCATCACATCACTCCCGTTGAGAAAGTAAACAAGACGCCACGGCGGGGCTCCCCAAACTGACAAATAGACAATCAAGGTAAAATTGATACAACAATGCAGGAGTGAGCGTGGATGAGCCATGTGAGATAAGCAACATGAGGTGGGTATTATACAAAACGGACGGTAAGGTTGCGGAACCTAGGGATTGAGTCAGTAAACTGTACATTTAAAATTGACACATTATCTGTGGAGCCGTGGACCGATATAGCCTCCTCCGACAGTTGGTGGCTTCTGAGAAAAAGTTCGGTCGCTGCCATTTCCACCAACAACAGGTGAGGTTCTGATAATGCCAGAATTATTGCGTCTAGTGACATTGCTCAGAGGAAATCCAACACCTTTAGAGTAAATCAGAGGAGGCTCTTCTGACAAGTCGTCACCATTACTGGCGACTTCGTAGGATAAAGTTCTAGCACCACCACCAGGTGAATGAGAAGGTCCGGGCGAGTTGTAGTCTACATAGTCTCCACGCGAGGAAGGACCTGGGGCATCCACGATCATACGCGGTCGTTTAAATGAAGTTTTGTTATGAAGAGATAAAGGTGGATGAGGTGAAGGCGCAAGCTTTGGTTGCCGCTTTAAATTTCTCAATTGTGGACGCCGGTAGCTGGAGGTATCGACATCATGAAAGTCCTCTCCCCACCCGTTATCGAAATCCTCGTGCTAAGAAAGAGAATGTGAATTAAAGCACAGCGTCAAGTGCTTTAGACAAAATAGGGTCGTGAGACGCACAAGAGATTCAGATTCGGGGTCAGATTCGTCAACTGTTAGACCTTCACGAGAGTGTACTACAACAAAAATAGGAGACAGTACTTTAGGTACAAAAAGCAGAGTAAGAGTCGAAGTTAGAGGATAAATGCTAACTACCCCCAGCGACTTGGACGGATGTCCGACGGTCCGACTGCAATATTCTACTTCTCTACAGATTTAGAAAAGTGTAAGAAATATTGGGGAAGTACCTGTGGGTGAGAACTGCGGTTTTGTTGATGTTGTGCTGAAGAGACTTTATTTATTCTAAAAAAGATATTTTAAAGGACACTTTTATTTACCGATTAGATTCATGATCGAATTTTGTGGCTGATTTAGACTGCTGCGAAACAAGTTTTTCCAGAAGAAAACTAATAAGAAGATACAGTAACGATAAATTTAAAATCTTACGTTCTGTGCCTTGATATTTCCCTAAAACTCTTCCGCAGACGGTCTAATTCATCTTTAAGGAGCTCGTTTGCCTAAAAAGCAATGGTAGGATACACAAAACATATCTTACGAGAATCTGTTCGCTGCACAATATCTTTAAAGATTCGTAGCGATCTTTCAGTGGAACACCTACAATTGCACTAAGAAAAACTAGGAATAAGCCTACTTTCATCCGTTTCCGTCATTTTGACAAGTCGAACACCGTGCCTATTGTGATGGATAATTTCTGACACCAAACTGATTCACTTTGAGCAGGTATTCAAACAAAAAAGATAACGAAACTCCTAAACGCCTACTAATAATGGGTGGTATGCTATGAGAGCAGTCGACATGATGGCAGGGGGCAGACATTATTAGCAAATGTGATACCTTTAGAAATGCTAATCTACTAAATTTTTTAGGCACAAATATTTTAATTAATTGCTCTTTTGAGTAAATATATTGCAGGTTACATTTGTTTAAATGTATTACTAGAAAGCGCAAGGTTTGTTTTGGGCGATTGTGGTGAGTGCGTTATATCCACCACAGGGGTCAGAAGTTCCCCTAATTCTCACTTTTTGCCTGTAATCCAAAAGGCAGTTTGTGATACTGTGTCCGTACCCGAGTCTATTTGTTGTATATTGTCTCGAACTATATGCTCCTACCTGCTTTTTGTAACACACTCTACCTTGTATGTTTTGTGCTTTTTTGATTACGTTATATGTACTGATTGCATGTTCCGTTTTGTTTAAGTCTGATTATGTTCACTTTATATCCGTCATGCTCTCACATGGGCTTTAAAATACTTGACGTTCTTTTTTGGTTTTGTAATTTCCCAATGTTATAATTTTTGTTCTTTGAACGCGTGCTCAGGGCACGAAAGGATAAAATTCTTTTTTCGCAGCCTGATGCTACAAGTGCCGTAACTTGACATATTTTGTATGCTCGAAAGGTGAATAATTTTAGCTATTAATTGTTCCTGTTTTCGCCTTCAGCTTCATTGCTGCTGACCATCGGGCGCTGTTTATTTTTAGGTAAATCCCAGATGGTAACCGCTTAATTGATCGAAGTCTGCTTTTTTGGCAATAGGCTGAGCGCAAACGTGTTCGCACTACTCTCTTTTTAATTTATCCTTGAATCTCGGGGCGTTCTGCATCTTCTCATGCCCCTTCTTTTTGAAATTTGCTAAGTGGAAGAATTTCAAATGTTTTAAAATGGCCGCAGTCCAGTAACGGTTACAATTGTGTACTCCTGACCTCTGATCGTTCTACTACCCAGCTAGGTCTGTCCCTTTTGCACTGAATTATGTCGGTTTCAAAACTGCGCCGCGAGGTTGGTGTTGGTCACCTTGCTTAGTGAAGGGAGTAGTCTTGTTGGCCGCAGTAAAATATCATTTTGTATAATATGGTCTGCTAAAAAGTTGTTATTGGTAGAAGGAGAGTTAGTTCCCATCTATTCCCAACGTTGGTATCGTTGTCCTGATTTTACTGATTTGGTTTCACTAATTAGATTTTGGAGATCGTATTTAGGTATGCTTAATTATTTATTACATAGGTTGCATTTTACGGGGATATAAAGTTATTACTCCCTTGCTCAGTTAATCTAATGATTTTCTAGTAGCACCTTCAAGTGTTTTAGACATATTTTGATCAATAACTCTTGTCCTTTGTAGAGACCATGACTAGACATTCAAAAAACTGCACTGCGAATACAGTTTACACCTATCACGAGCGCCAAAAAGACGCGAAGCATTCAGGCTACGGCACTCAGACAGTTCGACTGGGTAAAGACTCTCTCCGTGCTTTTGACTGTTGCTGTTTAACCCTTCAACCGGCAAAAGATCCAGTTATCACACAGGACGGTTATATTTACGACCGCGCCACAATTCTTGAGTACATTCTCTCACAGAAGGCCGACATTAAACGACGCCAAAAAATTTACGAGAAACAGCGTGGTCGCGCCGCACGTGAGGCTCTTGAGAAGAAAAAAGCTGCTCAAGAAGAAAAAGCTCGTGCTTTTATGGCCCTCAACACTCTCGATACTCATTCTAAAGCGTCAGCTCAAGCTGCAGAGTCCGCAGCACTGGCCAACTTGTCAAAAGGCAATGCGAAATTGACATCAGTTGAGAGCGATTATAAGCCCGGCACTGCTGCTAGTTTCTGGACAATCAGTCCGGATACTAATAATTTCACGAAACAGGATGTCGATATCCCAAAACCCGATCCAGTTGTTCGGTGTCCTATGAGTGGCAAACCACTGCGATATAAGGATCTCGTAACAGTCAATTTTACCAATCTTGATCCTGATAGTAGTTCGAACGGCCAGGTCAAAACGGGGGACAGTTCCACCACAAACGAGATTCGACGAGTGTGTGCCGTGTCGAAGGACCCCTTGACGAGCTCCACTCGATGCTATGTCCTGCGACCCTCGGGCTCCGTGGTTACGCGAGAGGTAGTGGAGAAGATTATTCGCAAAGAGATGATTGACCCGATATGTGGGGAGAAATTAACAGAGTCTGATCTAATTGAGGTACAAGTTGGCTGTGGTGGATTTGCCGATGGACGGTCTGTTCTCACTGCCACGCGTGTCGCTCCTGTGATGCCTTCTTAATATCATCCAATCTACCCATCCCACTCATATTCCACATAACTCAATGTACAAAATATATTTATGTTCAAACGTTTTTTGTATATCCTTATCGGTCTGCTCTGTGTGTGCGCCTCCTTTGCCTTCATACAAGCGCTTTTTCGCTCTGTCGCAAGAAAGCAAAGGAAATGTCCCTTCTAACGCGGTCACACAAGTACTGCTCTGGTGGTGTCAGCTAATGGGTTATGACGGGGAAAAGACTAGCGTGCCCGGGCCACTATCCCTTGGAATGAGGTGATTTGTGTCTTCGCATTACTGATGTGTGGTTGAACGAATGGAGGAGGCTTCGTGCAAGCATGTCGGGCCTGTTGGTTCCGGTGGAAATGTGCGTCCGTAATCGGGCTTGGGTGATGTCGTTCAAGTTATTCGTTTGTGCAATAATGCATTTCGGTGCCATAAATGGTTACTTCTGTTAGTTTTTACTGATCCTCGTTTCGTGTTAGCTAAATCCGCACCAGTCGTGGGTGTTTGTAGCACTTGTTGGCCAATAGTCCCCAGCAAAAAGCTCTGCCTCTACTGGCGCAAAAAAGATACGAAAGTGGATGCTTCTGAAGGTTTAGCTGCGTATCGTGTTTCTGGCATGACGTTTTGTTCCAGAAAAATCACTGCACCGAAGCTACTTGGAAGCTGGGCATGGGGCCGTTTTGTTGGAGTGAGGTTGGTTCGTCTGCTGTTGGTCAGTTGCACCAATTTAGCACCTAGGATTTCGAAGTCGAGGAATGCGCTGTACGATGTCGACGAGACCAAAGCCAGTGCGCTGGTCTTCGTTTGACTTTGAGAGTTGCACTTCAAATTCACCTTGAGACTTACGGCTTCAGTGATCACACTTCCTCGCCTCCAGACTGGTTTCTTTTTCAATAATGCCCTCCGGCCCGGTGGTTTATGTGTGCTATACGAAACAGCCCTTGCAACGGCATTATCTCGAAGTTCTTTAAGATCTGCGCTTAAGCTGTGGTCGTTTCTGTTTATGTAGTAATACTTAACCTTGCTGTCTACTGTCAAACTTCCTAAATGAACGGTGGTCTGGGACATCACTAAACGCATCACATTGCGCGCGAAGACCACCAATGGATATTCGGGAAGCTGCGTTACCTTGAGCCTGGAATTTTGTTAAAGATCGATGTCAATCCTTCTATGCACTTGGTAAAGTTCTATAAATTGGGATTTGCTGGTTGTTCCCCGAAATCCTGGCTATGGTTGTCAGAATTCTTGTGATAGCGTTTAAGGAAGGTTGTTTATTTCTTTTTGCAGTAACACAACAGCCTTCCACTTTGTTTTAAGGTAGAGTGCTGCGAACTGTTTGACATAGTTGGTGAAGGAGTTCCCGCGTTCCACATTGACTCGAATCAACTGGAGATTTTGAATTCACCTAAAACCTTTTTCGAGGCAATTGAGGTGAGACGATGTAGTTTTTAACTCACGTTATAGAATGGGATCATGAAGGCTAGAAACCGCGTTGCCCTCTCCACGCTATACCTTGGCACTGGAGAACTGGAAGAGCGTCTTGTAAGCTAGTAAATTCCGACTCTACTAACACCATTTAAGTATGCATAAATCGATTTATTGTTTTATTCAGGTCAAAGCCTTAGTCGAGAACCCCAGTAAGCCAAGGGTGCGCCTTCTTACCGATGCTACGCGGTCTACTCGTCCAATCAAAGTAACTGCGGAATTCACAGGTGCTCTAGATGGTAGGACCAATAGACTCAACTGTCCAGCGACTCCTCCGTCTCCTTTGTTCTTGCTCCAACGCATCGCGTCGTTGCCTAATGCGCGGGTGGCCCTCTACCACAGCCACAGGCTGCGCAGTTGGCTTCGCAAAATCCTACCTGAGAGATTGAATGAAGTCGTGGGACTTCAGCACATCAAGGTCTATGTTTTTGATGACAACGTCATCTTAAGCGGGTAGGGATTTCCTTTTGTCCTTTTTGTATGCTAGCCTTCGTGAGTAGTAGTGCTATCAGTAATGAACGAAATGTGACCCAATTAAACTACTTTGCTCTTTAGATAAAAGTTCTTGAGTAATGTAGATGGTCTCCACCTGACTTAGCGTCTACCACAGTAAGAGTAAACAGTTGGTTGAGAATAACCGGGCTGCGCCTCTGCTTTCAAACTGATTGGCTGGTTGTGTTTCGGTAAATACGGATGTTTTCCCGGGAATTTCGACCCCTGACATGAAACGTCCATGTTAACTTTCTTCCCAATCGTATCTCTCTCACAATTAGATTCTTATTTGAAACTTTCTTCTTGTCACGAGGTGGCAAAAACGCCGAGTTTGAGATTTTCCAAAGAAAGCACACCAGTTTGTTTGCTAAATTAGCAAGATACTTTAAATGCGTTTTGTCTTTCTGCTGCGTCCACGTCTTGGCTTTGAGCTTACTTGATTTACTTCTTAGTTAGTCGACTTCCCTCGCGGGGCATTTTGCTAAATTTACTTTCCCTTGAATATCTCAGAGCAAATTTGAGCGGTGAATACTTCAACAAGCGACAGGATCGTGCATGGCTCTTGAAAGATGTTCCGGAGCTGGCAGCATTCTATGTCGATCTGATCGACACAATTTCATCCTTGAGTTACCAAGTAACTGCCGAAGGAGATCTTGTACCTGCCTCTGCGGAGACCGATCCCGTGCTAAGTAAGTGCCTCTTTGGAAACGCCGTGTTTTTTGAGCTTGGGAGTTTGATGTAATTAAATCTGACTCAGTTGTGCATGGATATGGCCGCCATCCGAATGATTCGCAGTCAGTGTATTTGTCTATTCCTTTCCCTTCTTTCACCTGGGCGTGCAGCGTTAGTCTAGCAGTGGAAATAAAGATGTTACCGATGATATAGCGAGTTGAAGGACACGCACTAAGTCTGTGCATTCATTTCGAGTCGAACATGAATGTCATCATTGCCACCCTTTTAGGCAGCCAAACAATCTCCTCGCATAATTGACGTAGATAATCAGGACTGTTTAGAAATCCCGCTGGTAGACCCCTTCACCTCGTTTACCTTCATCAATAATTAAGGCCTGTAAACTTTCCCATGTAAATCCCCATTTATATCATAGTTTTGATTGAAAGCAGATCGCTTTCAACTATGCTCTTGTTTTACCTTGATCGCAAACCTTTCTGGCGTGGAACTCCCATCAGTATCATGTCTTTTTTGTATTTTCAGAGAATGTAAAGGGGTAGCCTTCGCATCCCATCATTGATACTTGTTTCATTTCCGTTTATTCATGCAGTCATTATTTAAAGCTTTGTTCCCAAGAGTCAAAAGCTATACTTTCATGTTGATCGAATACTGTTTACACCACTTGTTTGAGTTCTGAGTTTAATCAATGTTGAGTATTTTACCGTAACAGTTGCCATTCCTGATTCAGCACGGAGTCTGCCCATTGCTGATCCCTGTAGTTATAGGAGGTGTCAGATCGTTGTTACTGCGGTCACTTCTGGGCCCCTCTTAAAACAGCACGGTTGGGTCGAGGTTTGACGAGCTTTTGCGAAATCATCTCGCCACCTACACTCTTCCCGGTGCTTTGGATCCGATTCCTCCAATGGTGCTTTATTTCAATGTTTTGAGGGTCACGTAGAACACAGCCCAGTTGACACGTCTGATTGGATCAGTTTGTCCTCACTGCAAGTAATTCTAGGCCTTGAAAGTGATTCTCGCAAGTGCATTACAACTGCAGTAATGTCTTCGTGAGAGTCGGTAGTGCTGCGTAGTAATTTGATGAAAACGGGACTGAATTGTTTTGATGACTGGTAGCATTGTGTCCCTCTCAATCACTAACACCATCTACTCCTTCTATTCGTTTCGATTCAATGAATGTGCGACTGATTATGGAAATTGTTTAGTTGTTTCCTCTCCAAAACGCATCAAGTTGTCTGGGAAAGGGCATGGGTGTGTTCTCTCTCGGTGTGCGAACGGTTGGTGATTTATTGGTCTTTAAACGACCCGATGGAAATTCCTGCGCGACCATGTTAGGGCAACGCACATCCTCCATCCTGCGCACTTTCCAGGCTCCGCGTCCATTCTCTAATGCCACTATGCATTTCATATACTGTGTTCCCAAGACTGTAAAACGTTGTAGTGCAAGGAAATACCGATGCGTTCCCTTTTATCTAATGGCCTGGTTTTATGGGGTCGGACATTTATCGTTTAACCCAAGCCACATAGTCGAATTGCTGTGCCGTCCCGCGGCTGCGTCCAAGGCCCCCTGGCGCGTACGCTTGGTGCCACTGCCCCCACATTTATAACACTATTCGATTTTAAGCTTGAGAACATGCAATTAATCACCATGTTGTGGATATTTGGTCATAATTTAATGTAGGAAAGTTGCGTCTAACTCTTCCCCACAAAATGTTTGTATAATTTGCCTGATTTAGCAATGACTCGAAGGACGTGATTGCTTAGTCTGTACAGATAATACTAAAAGGCTGGTGCTGAAAAAGAAATGTAAAAATCCAGAAATTGGCCTTTATTCCACTCTCTAAGTACACGGACCCACTTTTAGGTGTCGTGGTAACCAATTTAACTTATGAGTTAAATTACAGCACCGGTTGCCGACTACTGCAATGCGTTTCGCTCGCGCGTTGAGGCCTTCCTCGCCGCAGCCAAAACGAAGTATGCTGTCCCGGCAACCAAGGCGCCCGACACCGTTCTTGTTCCACTACTTCAAATGGGTGCTTACGGCATCAGTCAGGAATATCCTCTTGTACAGCGCGTCCTTCAGTGCGTCTCGAAGTGCGAAATCGCTCTGACGACGGGCTACTTCAACCCCACGCGGGAACTCGAAGAGTCGCTCATCAGCATCGCTCAGCGCCACGTCAGCGACTCGAGCGTCCAAATCCTGTGTGCTGCTCCTGAGGTGAGAATTCGAATTTGCCACTCGGAGGGACTGTTTGTTTTTGTGTGCTTGGAGTAGTCTTTTGTAACTCGGTGCTGACAATTCATAAACTACACTTTTCTTATCACCGACAGCCTTTTATGATCGTGGCGATAAAAGGTCAGGGCTAAACACCTTCAACACATGCTGCCTTTGGCTAGTAGAAAACTGAAAATTACAGTGCTAACGTCGTACTTCAAAGTACAGCAGCTCACAAATGTCCAACGCTTTTTGAATCACTCCTTACCCAACTACAATTTTCTGATTGTCCAACTAGAATCACTTGCGCATCTTCAAGTGGCCATGACCCACTTTTCGTCACTTCCTCTTGTTCACAGGATCCTTTGTTTTGTTTACGATCTAAGGCCAACAGCTTCTTCAAATCCAAAGGAATTTCTGGTGGCATACCAGCGGCTTACCGCGAGATGCTAATTTCCTTTCTCCGACGCATCATCAAACTCCCCAACATCGGTGTGCGTGAGTACGCTCGCCCCGGTTGGACGTTTCACGCCAAAGGCCTCTGGATCGACACGCCCAATGCCAGTCTCACTCTTGTCGGCTCCTCCAATTATGGATATCGCTCGCGAGATCTAGACCTCGAAAGTCAATTGCTATTGGTCACGCGCAACACAGACCTGCGCCGACGAATACGCGCTGAACGAGAGCACCTTTGGGATCCTCGGTATTCGCGACCTGTCACTCTCGATGGTCTTTTGATGTCCACCGAACAGCGCTTTAAGTGGTACGCCAAATGGGCCTTACCCCTTCTCCGACGAATAATGTAGACGTGTCCTTCTGCTACCTGTATTTTTTTGTTGAAGAGGATGTTTTGTATTATGACTGTGGTTATCCATTTTACTTTCAATTAGACAATTGGATTTGTCTATTTGACAATCAAGTCGCGTTAGAAGCCTTTCGTGATTGAGACTCGTCCCCAAGAACGCTGTGGACTGTCACCACAAAGCTTACATTATTATTTTAACTTTCGGTAGTGTGAAAGCAAAAGGTTCAAATGGTCCGCATCGAATTGTAAGCATCGCATTTGCATGTTCACCAATGATTGAACTAAATTCAACTAAATCATACTGCACGGCAGGTCGCAGACAACTTGTGCTTACCTGTTGCCGCCATCACCCCATTTTACATCAGGTTAGTGAAAAAGCACTAAGCGTTTTCCGGTTACCTTAGTTTTGGATGCCAAAGTTATTATTCTATGCATTCGTTTAAATTGTGTATTTATTTACGAATAAATGCTTCCTCTGGCACCGCAAGGAAAGCATTGTGAGCAAACTGTACTTTTGCACAAACCTGACAATTGCCCGTCAGGTCGGGCACACCGGTAGAGTTCCGCTTCAGGGTGGTTGACCACCTTAGCAGCTGGGCAGCCACGTGTGTGGTGCCTGTGCTAGCTCCTCCTCGACTTGGCTATACACTAATTTATCAAGAGCCTTGGTTACATTGAAATAGAGAAGTCGTACAGTCTTGACTCCTGATAAACCCACCTCTTTCGAGACTAATAATCTTCAAAAGTCACTTGAACGTGGCCCGTTTTTAAGCCCATCTGTTCTGGTTAAGCACTTGTTCAGACATGAATTAATTGATTTGCGTGCCGTGGTTTCAACAGTTACTTAACAATTCCCCCCCCCCCCGGTGGTTGCATCAAGCAGCAAGCTGATTGGCTTCTCCAGAGGAAGCACGACTGCTGCACACACACACACATAGACCCACACTGGGGTGTTAGTCGGGAAGCAGGCACCGCGGGGCAGCACAATGTCACGGACCGAGCTCCTTATTCTCATCTCGGTGCGTTGTGAATTGCGTTTTTAGGCTTTTTGTCGTCGAGTGCATGCTTGTCAATCATTCTGACGTGTATTTAAAATAAATACTTTATTATTTTAAGCAAGATTTTCAAACGCAAGTAATTTGCATGTGGTCCCTTCAACTCTGGACAAATGGGTATCTATTTAAAGAGGATGGCGCGAATTAATGTACTCCTATGAATGCGTTACTGTCGCGAATTCGGAGTAGGCATGCAAATATGGGTAAATAATATTTGGAATGCATGAAGAATAGAATTTTGCGAATTCACAAGGCTGGTCAGTGACTTACGACTTTTAACTCTTGCTTCTGTGTCATAAGTGCATTCGCCCATTGTGCGTAACGTGTCTTGTGCATGAAGTGGGAAAATGGTCACTTGGGCTTGCAATCGCCTCCAGCGTTTCCAGTCCCGGCTCAGTCGACGTCACGGTGCATTTCCAAAACAGTCTACTAATTCCCTCTTCCACACAATTCACACATTCTGTTCACACGTGTTCCTCAGCGCAAGTACTCTAAGCAAAAATGCCCATTAAGGTCCCGTGTTTTACTTTGTGGCAGCTCTCAAGCGGCACCAGAGCGATCCCGCTAGGTCTGCGACTTGTTGAATGAAATCAAAATGCCATGCCGTGATTAATTTGGACTTTACCTTCCTAGATATTCACTAGGTTGACACGCAGTAAGCACTTGCAACTTATTGAGCCATGCAGGAAATGTTAGTGGACGGAATTTTACAACTTCTAGTAATATCTTTGGCCTACTAGACCAGTGTTCATGTTCTGCAAACAATAAAACCAGGTTCGTAACTTCTACCGCAGCTCCCACTAAGAACACACCCCAAGTCCGATCACTTTCTACAATCTGCGTGGTCATCCGACCATTGGCATGTCTTTCTTACAGGTTAAAGCCAGACGTCTCCATGTGTGGCCAATAATTAGATCCCTGTGAAAACCCGTCACATGAGTAGTCAACTGTTCAGAACACAGTGGTCATTAAATCCTCCACTTTTCATGCAGTGGAACCTCATGCCTGTCGCCACCAGATTCATTAAAACACAGCCAGAATGTTTCAATTTGCAGACCACGTATAAATTTACAGATGTCAAATTGATTGCTAAAACGCAAAGTGCATGTACCGTGTGTGGCTGAATCAAATTAAAAACGAAACTGTAGTTTTCCAGCAAAGAATGTCATTGACGGCTGATTTTAAAGGTCAAACTCATCCTAAATGCACTCGGAATTTAAACGTTTACAGTTTTTTTTTTCAAAAAACTATTTTGAGCGTGTTAATTAGTCACAGTTTCTCCACATAAACGCGAGTTATTTCGAAGTGTTTTTTCTTGTAATTACCCCATTGTTAGTATTATTTAAAAAAGCCGATATTTTTGAATTAATTCAACTTTTAAGTGTTTTTAGCTTTGTCGATGCACATTGACTGAACTTGACATGTAATGAAAGGTTTTGTTTGAATAAGGCATAAATAACCATAATGTGGTATCCGTTTGATGCAAATCGATATGCCATATTTGGGTCGTGGCTGCATTACATACGTGACATTTTCTCGCGTCTTCCATGGCATTTACGGATTTGGGGTATTAGTCCAGGGTAAATATTTGTGCGTCGATCAGTTTTTTAATGCAGCGAAATCCTGTGTTCAATTATTAGGTTGGCAAAACAAGTCTTGTTGTGTAACAACAGCCTTCAAGTAAAAAACTTGGCAAGTCCAATTGGTGCACTAAAACAGCGGTCACTTTGAGAGGTATTAAGTGATGATTTTATAAGTAGGCTGATCCGCAAGCCTGCGGTTGCACTCCATTGCGTGATTTCCTGGAATTATTTGTCTGGACGTCACGCTTCCTCTAAGGTGGACAGTAAGGGATGGTGGGTTTTTCTGGCGTGCAGTGGCGCATAAAATAGCATTTTTTTTTCTGGCTTCGACTTTGCCAGCGCAGAGCTACCAACAATTGCCAAGCACTATCAAGAATTAAACAGCACTCATTGCTGATTAATATTTGATGCCAATAAAAAACACAACATCGTTAACTCCTCTTACTAAATAGCACCGAAATCTTTCTTCCTCAGCGAAAATGACTGACGCGAAACTTGGCCATTTCTAACGCTAACCAGTAAACGCTTTTGAGGTCATGACTCATTCGCCCGTACAGCCTAGGATCGGGTGCACTATTGTCACAGCTGCCTGCAACTGTAATCGCGGTAAGTGAAGACTACGGCATTAACAAACATTTGAAGTGTGATGATCAACGAATTGAAGTGAGTCCGTGTACTTATGCGTTTGTTTGTGAGAGGACTTAATGCATTACGAATGCCGAATTTTATTAATGTTATTTCAGTCGATTTATTGAGCTAAGTGAAAGAAAAAATATAGAAAAAACACAGGGATTAGATTGTTAACGTGTTAGACTAAAGCGCGTTGCGGATTCCACTCGTAATTGCCTTTCTTACACGTTGCTGAAATGAAAAGCCATTCAAACTCAACTATTTGACGCTTTTTTGTTACTCACAGCTGGTAGGGCCACCGTGCCACCCAAGTGTCCTTTTCCGCATGTTCGTAGAACGCAAGTAAAAAATGCAGCTTGCCTCTGGGGCAACCGATTATCGGGGTGAGGCATAGTTTTGAACGAGATCATGACTGACCTCTGCGCATCCAATTCACAATGTTAAAAGCGTATTTCAACTCCACAAAACCACATACTATAAAGGAAATTCTGTGTGGAACCTTCTGATAGTTGAATAAAAACACATTAAAAGTGAGCAATTTAAAAAAAACTTTTGATGCAGCTGTGGTTGGTGACCAAGTGATAATTTTCAATGTCTACGCTTGGCGCTCGTAAATGACCTGCTTGCAACAAGACAGCGTTCCTTAACTCGGGCCCCTCTTTTCCTCCGTAGAAGTCCCAAATGCTTTGTTCTGCAGAAAAAGTGGGTGTTTTGATGTAATTTATTTTGTTTATCGGCGTCATTCCTTATTACTCATAAATGCTTGCATTGCGCGTCACTTCAGCAAGGAGAGGGTCTTCGAAAAGGACATCACTTTCGCTCTTAATTTGCTACAAATTGTGTCAAGAACTTGCTGAATTTTTCTCACACGCCCCAGTAATTTAGCCTTTAGGCTAAAGTGCTGTTTTTGTCCCACAGTGATGGCAAATACAATGGGTGTGGTCACTTTTCTCAAAAAACACCTTTGTCAGACACGCTGATTGGCACAGCAGCAGCAGCAGAGGTAGGCAATGAATGGGTATTTTATCAACTCACCATTGTTCTTCCGTTGTATTCAACAAACCTGTGAAACCAGACATCGAGATTTCTTGATAAAGTAAGCATTGTAGTCGAAATTGGTATCACATTCCCATCCGACCCTTCACAGTCTCCATTTCGTTTTTTACATTAAAAATATTTTTGAAAATGTGAAAAAATAGAAATGCCGTGAAACAACTTCCAGTTTAAATTCCTCAAGGAAACGATAGCCACTGCCAGGTACTTGCATTGGTGGGGTCTTTTTCGTTGTGTCCCGCTAAATCCCCCCATCATTTCTAATTAACACAGTTTTTCTCGTGTCCTAATTTTCATTTTAATAATCCAAACCAATTAAAATCAGTCGCTGCCTCAGTTTTTCTGAAAAGACTTCTTTGAAACCGCTTATACGTTGGTTTGAATTCCCTGCAAGGAACGACTGAAAAGCTAATGTTCACTGCACGAGGCATTTTTGCTGGGTAATATAAAAAAAGTGGCCAAATACAGAGATATTTTGTAGTGGCTACCGTGTTTCTGTTTTCCAATTCAAGCCAGTTGCCTCTGGTTCTTTTGTTACAAATTAACCAGAGTCGCTCCACACTCTGTCATGAGGGGCAACACGAAAAACGGATTCACTGAGCTTGTGATGTCAGTTTAGCAGAAATAGGAAGATGGAGTAATGAATAATATTAGCTCCATCAAAAATTGGTTTGTGTTGTTCCCTGGTGGTTTAAATATCAAACTTGACGTTTTGAAGATCACTTAAATGATGTGGAGCAAATGACAGATGAGCTACAGAAATTATCAGCCTTGAAGTCATTCATTTCGTTCGGCTGTTCATATGAGTCTACGCAGTCAAAACATTAATCCATTGTGTAAAATTTATACCCACTTAGTTGTCATTCAATATTGACTGTAATTTTTGTAAACATCTTATTGTAGGTTCTTGCAATTGTTCGGGTAAGGGCTATACTGCCTGTCATTTAACCTGGATATTTTGATGAACCAGCATCTCTGTTGGCTCTGTGACAGGCTTGCTACCTCTTTATCAAGGCTTATGCACTTTTACAGTGGCTGAAAACAATGCCCTTTACGCCTCTTAATGGAAGCTTATTATTTAGCAGTAAATAATTCAGTAGAGCTTATGCATGTGCAGTCTTGAACTGGTTCCTGAGCAAACTTATGCTGGAAATGCCACTTCAGTTGCATGAGCTGCTCACTTCTGGTTTATCTCACTTTTAGCTCAGTCTTGCTTATGATGAATATGCCCAGTCAGTGAATGCAGGTCAGCTATTAGCTTACATTGGATTTTTCCCGCTTCTATTTTTGCAATCGACAGCGACATAGTGTGGCCCCCTTGTTAATATTTAACCTCCACTGGAGCACAGGTTATAAATAACTACCTAGAACACCCTATTACTCTGACAGGTACACTGCAACAAAGTCTGGTAGCTGCGCGCTTTACCAAATTGACACAGAGGGTCATCTTTTTAAATAGGCGTCCTAAATTTATTTTCCATATATGCGTCTTATTTACTACGGTTTCTAACTGACTTGGACGTAGAATTCTGCATTTTTTTCCAAAACCGATGGAAATGTGTGTTTGGAAGAAATGGGTAAACAATGAATCGTTCTCTAGCGCTTAACTTTGGTCAACTCAAAATAAAATTCAAATGGAAGTTTTGCAAAGAAGTCCGATTTGCCGTTTAGTAAACTTTTGCCGCCAGTATAGTGAAAAAACGTGCATTTGTGAGACGGTAAAAGCACCCAAATGACATTAACAAACTTTACCTCTGGTTACAATGCAATTGGTAATTTTATAAGTGCACTGATTGGGCTGTGCATTTAGAATCTAAATTAATGAGTAACCGAAGCTAGTATTGCTATTTCCTCTGTGGTCCCAAAATTTTAACTAATGGAACTCTTCACCTTCTATAGGAACTTCACAGGTGTGACTTCGTCGGTGTTAATGGCTGCTTTATTTATAAACTGGATTGTTTATCATTTGAAATTGTCCAGGCTCATAAACCAAATGTACCAGTCTGATTTCATTTTCCCTTATTATGACTACCTACAGTTAGTTGTCCACACATTTTTATCACAGGGACTAGATTTAAATGTGGTTTTTTGCCCATGGCATCGAGGCTCCAACTCAAATCGCAACGTCACTCTTAGGCTCGTTTACAAAACTCCTTTCAGTGTCCATGAAGTGAACCTTCTCGATCTGTCTTCGTTGTGTATTTAGGTGAGGAAGATCCGTGCGCCGATGCGAAGTGCACGGTTGGGGAGTACTGCAAGGACGGAAAGTGCCACTGCTACGACACCTGTCCGACCGACTGGCTGGTCCATCAGAATAAGGTGGGCAGGTGCAGCTAGCATTTCCTTCATCTGCATTCCACAGAATATATTGAAAATTAAGTTTTGATACAACAAAAAAGCACATAGCTAAACTGTATCAAGTGCGCTCTGTGAGGTTGGCTTTCACATCAGGCCTGAGGTGCTTCACGTCTGCACGATCACTTGGCCACAAGTCACTATTCAATTCCCTCAACGCGCTTTCAGTAAACTGTACACGATGTTCGAAACCGAAAAAAAAACATTGTCGAGTCTATTTGCTAGGTTTTATGTCCTGGGCTCGATGCCGTGGGTGACTTCATCCAGTCTAGGAACTACTAGAGGGGGGGGGTAAAATTGATTCCAGAACACTTTTTGGGAAATATTTCTCAAATATTATACAAACTGCAAATGACGCTAGCTGCAGTTACATGCGGTTATCATCAGTGGCAACTCTACTCTCCAACAACTAGCATCAAAGACTTCGCACTCTTTTTGTTCTGTTAATTTACAGTCTCCTTTTTACTGAAATAAAATTCAGCCTGTTTCATTTCGCTCCGCTTAGCCTATGATGAGGGTTGATTGAGTACATGCAGTTTGCATCTACTCATGTATTTTTACTTAACAGTTTACTATTTTAGCAATATTGGCATTAATAATTGTTAGCAAAATAAATGGTCGGTTAGAAGACGTCAATTATGTATATAATCTTAAATGTAACTATGGTTGTGTGTAATTTATCCCAAAAACCAGGCCAGTGCCGCTTGATTGAGTGTGTTAATTTAAAGAGCTCATCCTCCCGGAAAAATTCGCATAAATCACAGCTTCCTTCTCGCATTCATCCCACTGGTTCGTGATTAAACTTCAGCTTAGTCTCGGCAACTCGTTAATCCTGGAGTAGTAAGGCTATTGGCCCACGTGAGAGCAGTTAGCAGTTTCCGTGACCGTGTCTTTAGATATGCGTGGATGGCTACACGTACAGCCACACGTGCGACCTGTATCGCAACATTTGCTACTGCCGCGAGGGTGACCAACGTTGTGGCGATGAGCGCTACTTCGGCGGCCACCACGCCGACCAGAACTCGATCATCCGCTACTTCGCGGAGTGCCAGGGTAAGGCTCCAGAGCCCCTCACACCCCCACCCCCTGAGCAACCCGCTCGCATGCATTTTTGATCTCTCTAGAACTAACACACAAATGCAACTGGGCTGTCCACCAGCGGTTCTTCAGGTATCAGCTGATTGTCTGGCTGCAGCAACTCCTTGGATCAACGGTAAGAATGCTTCAGATGAGTTTGTTTTTACACAAAAAACAACATGTGGAGTGCAGAAAGTGTTGTCAAAAAATACCTTGAAAATACTGCAATGGGGGCCCCTGTGCTTCTGTAAGTGCCTCCATAAAACCTTCATAGTGTTTACTGCTTTACCAACACTACTCGCATGGGCTTCGCCTGATAAATCGACATGTAAACAAATTTACTGCCTTATACGGCACACTGGCCTATTGGGACCTAATTGCTGCACGAGGCGGTTGAATTACAAAATGCCTTTCTCATTAAAGGCAAAAATGATGTCCACGCTTTTTTGGCTAATCTCAGCATAAATGCGCATTACCTGAATTGGGAATTGTCTATCGGACTAGTGCAAAGGCAATTTCCGTTTTTAGTTTGTCTAATTTAATTAGCATTTGTTGAAAGATTATCTCTTACTGCTGTTTGTAGTGCTACATTAACTAATCTGTTTCAATCTTAATGCGATTTTGTTTGCGAATCAATATTTTCCCTGTCATGGCATTTTTTATTTCTAATAAAAATCCTGTGAGAGTGCATTCTTTTTGTGAAAGCTGACAAGGACTCGAATTTCGCAACTTGACATTCCAAATATGGCCACCAAAGCTGAATATTTAAGATTAGAAAAGCATTGCATAATTAAAAAGTGGTTTTGGCTTGGTTTTTTGACTAAATTAGAATATCGCGTCGGCTGGTTGTAGAAAATTCCTTCGTCGAGAGATTCTGTTTTGTGCCGATTCAGCAGGTAGAAATAAAGAGCGCTGTGAGTTTGCTAGGAATATCGTGGCATTTGGCTCTGGCACGCTGAAGTGAATTTCGGTCCTCCTACCCCGACCTGTCCCAATTTAACTGATTCAGTGACATTGGTGCGAAATTCTTCTATTGAATGCTACTTAACATGTCTTCCAAGAGGATTCAAGCAAATTGTGGCGCCATGGAAGGGAATGCCTTGCCCTCACTTGAAAATTTTTTTATTGATAGATACAAATCACAGAACATGAATGCTTGATATTATAGTTTTTTATTTGCTATTGATTCTTCTGCCGATACCGTAGTGCGTGTGGCGGTACAATCGAATAATTGAAAATCCAATAACTAGTTATTGTTTTGCCAGGTAGATAGGACATGGATGTCTGCGTTCGAATGTATAAAGATGCATAAGTTGTTAAACTATACGGATGAGTGACGTGATTGTTGGGCGAGTTTTTGATATTTGACTGTCGGACACTTGAAACGTTGTCAGAATCACGGCACTGACCCGCGCAATGTGCTTCTTCGTCCCCGAGCTCAACACGATTGGCTGGCGCTTGACAACCTCCTCTCGAAACGAATCGGTCTCCGGGGTGAGAATGCCGGACCGATTCTCAGCTTCGTGTTTTGTGAACTCGACGTCGACAAGAGTGGGTAGGCTAGTTTGTACTTGAAAATTCTGCCAATCACGCGCTCTTGATAAATAGAGCCTATTTGCTTGTTTACCTTTCCGTGGCCAAGCCGACTTATCTTGTATCCTAAATTCCTAAATACCAGTAAGGACTACTGACGAATAAGCAAATTAACATTCTAGATTCAGATCACTATTCATAGAATGAATTACAAAAATTGGTTAATAAGATACTCAACATTTTTTACCAAGCAAGCTTTGAACCACCAACCTCTACACACAGGGTCGTTGATTGTTTTGTGTATCCCAGTATGGGCCTGCCTGTTGACGATGACTGAAAATCAGGACTTGCCACCAGTTGAAACCAGTTTATGCTGCGGACGCATAAAACCACGTTGGTAGCTCTGACAAGCTTGTTGATGTTGAATGAGGCTTTAAAGAACAGAAGTAAAGCAAACCTGTGGCCTCTCCAGTCAGACCTTTGCTTAATGCAATTCGGTTTTTAATTGACGTAACGTTAGGCTTGCACATAATAGATGCCCATGTCGCACACCATACCGGGACTGTATTTGGTGGTATACGTGTACACAGCATGTGCTAACGACTCGTTACAAACAAGTCACAGTTATGTCTCAGGTTGTTTTCGGACAACCCCATAGAAAGCCTGATTTGCTGAATTGGATTGCAGAATTCTGTGGTATTGCTATGTTTAGTCTTGCGTGGCACATTAATACTCCAAAGAAGTCACAATTTGTTTCCAAATAAACAGTTCCAGTTGTATTAGGTCGATCTGCGTCACATTCTTTTGACAATTTGATTTGCTAGTTATAGAGTACCACTTAAATTCAAGCAATTAAGCTTCATTCAGCCTAACAATAATGCCTTTTTACGTTACCTTTGGTTAAGAACGGTCTGCACTGTTCGGCGGAGACATGCATGCCAAAACTCTCCCTTGAACCTATTTTTATGCGACACTTCAAACTGATGGCGTTTTTGATGCAATCGAACAACCTTAACGGACACCAAGTGACCCTGATGTAGTCCGTGATAGAAAGTTAGTAGCAACAACGCAGATATTTAGCCACATTGGTAAATTCAGACATCAGCAAGGACTGTGCTGTTTTTCGAATCGTCAACTCCGACAGTAGCGAGTGATCAGCTAGTACAGCTAGGATTGGAATTCACTTGAACGGATTTCGTGGCACATTTAAGGTGCAGTATCTTTGGTGGGTAAGGCAAGAATCACTGCAATTTGGTGTAGCCGATTTGTCACGTATTTTGTGTTACTTGTTTTACAACAAATGTGATTTATTAGACCATAGGATAAAAAAGGGCTATAGGTACATATTATGATTGGATTTTAAAAATAATGAAAAGGCATTAACTCTGGTAACTGTCCAGACTATAATGGCCAGTCAAAATTAATGGGACTGCCTAATTTATTAACATTTAAACAAATACTCACTACATGCTTCTACCATAAATTAAAATAATCCAGATACAGACGAACATAGTGCAGCGCCAATTTTGAACATCATGGCGAAATTTGCTTTAAAATTTTCCCAAATATTGCGGGATATTAAACAAGGCACCTACGAACGTTAAGGCATTACAATGGTAGACGCGGCAAAGAAAGAAATATGCTTATGTTTAGCCAGTCTATGTGCGAATGTAGAGAGTAATCGTTTTTTTCGCCTTTAGAATTATTGAAGAGAGAGAGTTGGCCATGCTGACCCAAGTTGCACTTCCGACGTTGGCATGTTTGGAAATATTTCTCGGGAACTGCATCAGTGGACGAACAATTAGTCGTGATGCCTGGTTCAACTGTTTCGAGATCGACACACGTGAGCCAATCGTGCATTTTTGTGCAGCCTAATAAGATCCGTTTGATTGAGTCAGGTCATCCTCCTTCTTTGTGGAACCACGGCGTCATTTCGCGTTTTGGGCAAACTTCTTAGAGTACATCAAAATGAATGCAAACTGACATAATTCATGCACCACTTTTCATGGCATTAAAAGACAAATAGCTTGGAGTAACTGTTTATGCTATTTGCATATCACTGCCTTCTTCATTTTTTACCAACCTAAAAAACTGTGTTCATACGCATTGTATTTTCAAAGATGATGGGCTTAATTGTATGACTCTAACAATATATTGCTTACTACCGCTTAAATTCTCGTCATCAATGCCTACATTCACACTCGGATTTTCTGGTTTGCTTGTCTCAGGATTGTCCGTTTAGAACCACTCATACCACCTGTTCCAAATGTCAGCCGCAAAATCTCGTGGTGCATAAGCAAGAGATGTGGAAGAAGACAAACTTAATAAATTTTGCTCCGATCGGTGATTCACAGCTGAAGTTCTAGTAGCCTAAAGTTAGTGGTCTTCTCAACGGATTGTAGGATTGGATTTAAGACAAGGAGATTTGGCAAAACTTCAGCAATGTTGAAACACCTTATTTTTTTCAAATTTTCTTTCTAAAATTTTTCAGTCTGTCATTTGAAGTGCACTTCGCACGCATTTATAAGCACGACTTACAGTTGTTTCATGTGCGGAAATCAAGACGATTTTGGTGTTGACTTGTTTATAAGTTTCACTTCTAATTAAAAATTCATTGTTCACTGTTACTTAATTGTATTTTGTAGGCGAGGCAATGTCGTGCTCCAACTTCGTGTAGTGCGTTCTATGAGCTTTACTCGGTCCCATGTCGAATGTCGCAGATGTGAAATTCGTCTTTTTGTCAATTTGCTACTCTCGTTAACTCCCCCACTGTGCTTATACCCATGTTCTTCATATTCATGGCACATACCTCTAAAATTTTTTTTCCGCAGAAAATTAAAATTTTGTGCGATATTCCATTGGAACGTTTAAATCGGTCAACCGATTGTTCCAAACACCATCTCCTTTCTGAAAATTATACACGTTCTTAGAACAGAGACCAAATGTGGTTTGTAGGCAGACATTGATCATCTAATTGCTTTAGGTAGCACGCGCAACAGTTAACTGAGCCAGAACAGTTGAGGCGGGTGCTGGCAACAGAGGTACGCTCGAGGGTTGTGAGGAACGAATGCTGATGCAACGGCAGCTAGTGCACAGGAGCCCTGGACATGGGTTTTGGTTGCCCCTGTGCCTGTGCACCGGGCAACGTGTGTTCTGGTTGCGAAGGCATCTTCAAAGTGACTAATTACTCACATTATTGGTATCCACGGCCAGGCAAAGCGCTAATGTCGCTTGTGCAGACTGCCCTAATCCACGCCGAATCTTGCATGTGCAGCGAAATTCCGTCCTCTGTCGACCGTGATCTGGATTGGTCAATTTCAATTTATCACCTTTTGTGTTGAGACCCACTGACACATGATATCCACATTATTAGGGCTTATATAAGATGAATTTTTACTTTATTATGTCTCTCTAAAAAGGTGACAGAAGACAAAATAAATAGGCTCTTCTGTTTCCACAATGCGCTTCGCTATGTGGTGTCGGACTGCTCAATAATGTACCTTTTTAAAGGAGTGTGTGAAAGGATCAGTTTGTGCAAAATATCTTGACAAATCGGGATCTAAGACCGATACGCTTATGCTCCACCCGACCTAACCTTACGGTACGGATTACTGCCTGAATGCAATGTGTTGCAACTGCACAGGGATGCAGTGTCTACTGAGAGTAGTAAAGTAGCATTTGTCGATCACCATTTATTTCTCACAAACGCCCCAAGATAGCGGAGAATCGACACTTACGAACATTCAAATCGCATAACCGCTCGGTTACGCGATTGATTTTACATAAGAGAACGGAATCAATACAAATATTTACTAAATATTTTAAATACCTGCATGAAATATTGAGCTTCCATGGCGGCTTGTTTTCCAATATTACCCGGTAATTTTTCTTTAAAAAGTTATAAAAAATAAGAGGCCTCGATGTTTTATTAATGCTCCGAGCTCACAAAGTAATATTGAGGTGAGCTTCTTATCGAAAAATGAGTGAGTTCAAAATAAGCAGAATCTATGACACATTGTGGTGAAACCTCAACGAAAAGATTGCACCAGCAAACATTTGATGACACTAAGCATTACGAGGAGGGTGGGGGTGTGAATGGTTAGGAAGCCAACACCTCGTTTGTCTTGTAGAAACACTGAGGCCGCAACTCGCACGCAGTACTTTAGCCTGGAAGAAAGAAAGCATTCATGCTATGGGCTTTGTAAGTGTCAACAAATGTTCTGAAACTACTAGTAGCCATCGGGCGGCACGTTTATTCAAAATACACCAAAAAATTAAGGCAGAATGTGAATAAGTCGGCTAAAATGACAACGTCAACGTAAGTTGCAGTGCTAACACCTTAACAGAAATAACTCCAGTGAGTGAAAGTTAACAGAAGCCAAGTTTTCGTTTCCTTATTATAAATTAAATGTACTTTTTCTTCTACCAAATAAGTACTTGTTCACGCCTAAACATAGTTTTTGTTTAGCATAATCTCACAGACGTACTCTTTTTCACAAATACACGAGAGTATCAGTTGGAGATGGAGAATTATTGCAATGCGCCTGCCTCTCCAAATTAGCATTATTAGGCTACAGCGGCCACATCACTCATCATAAGGCTGTCCTACGTGGAAATCACTGGTTTGGTTTTCTGGTTTTTTTTTCATAAATGCTTCAGTGCGTTTGGCAAACTTTGGATTGGATCATTTGTATTTTGTGGCATTTTGCAACTTGACAGTAGTGCACTTGCTTGCCATTTCGTTTCCAGCCATGTCGCTGCCACAAGAGCGCATTCTTATCTGTGATTTTAATGCAATTACCCGCGTACAAAGGCACTAGTGGGCCTTCATCGTCTGATTTGCCTGCCTGCCTGCCTGCGACGTGGCGAGCAGGAGTTTTTCGTGCTTGTGCGGAGAGGGGTAAAGTAGGTTAGTCCATTGTCGAGTTTGTTTGGACGTCGGTGCATTAGACAAGGCGAGTTGTTATTTCCCCAACCAAACCCATTTGCATTTTCGCTTTTTGTAAGAACACAAAAAAATGCCAAATCTACTAATTGCAGGTTGCGAGAGGGAAAAGGAGTCAGTCGCGTCTCCGAGTTAATGTTATGAATGGCAAGCAGTGTTTGGGTGTGTTGTTGACACAAAAGCAAGCTAAAAAGGTATATTTTTAAGGTTTTCAAGTACTTGTGTAACAAATTAGGCGTTTAAAAGGAATGAAAAGGGACGTATTTGGCGTGCATAATTCTTCCCACGCATTCATATATCTTTACACGTCCACTAAGCGGAATCTCTTCCGAGATGGGCCACAGTGCTCACACCTGGCATACAACCGGTCTAATGAATTCGCGCAGCAGTGACCTCGGGGTTTGCGCAGTCCCTAATTTCCAAATTGGAGATGTTAAACCTATTAAAATGTAAAATTTAGCATCCACTGGCCCAGGTTATAATCCATCTTAGACCTCAGGTGCGATCAGTGTAGTATGGTGGAGTGTGCGAGGAATCGACCCTCCCCGAATGTGCAATAATTTTCTAGCTTTTTTCGGAACGCTTGGCCTGAAAAACCATATGCGCCGTTTGACCGATAAAAATTGTCACGCTTTTCCTAGTTGCCTGACCTATGGTACTCAAGGCAAATTAAGTAGTGCACTAATTAAATGTAAAATAAAAACTGACACATAGCCAACCAAGTCAAAAATTCGGCTACGTTTTGCACAAACTCTGGTATGTCCTCAATGTCTTATTTATTAAAACATTCCCAATATCCTCTTAAGGACCAACTAACTCATTTTCTCACTGATTATATGCGTTGAAAATGTGCGATCGCATGAGTGAAGGTTCCGTCAGACGTCTGTGCCCCAAGTCCTCCATTACCAGCGCATCTCCAAAATGAACGCGTAAGGAGGCCCACTTCCTTGTCTTGGAGAAGTGCATTGCGGTTTATCTACGAGAACGCTAGTTCAGTGGTTGATTTAATGTGAAATGTTGGTGTGGAGAAATAGTTTGGCTGTTGGTGCAACGCAGCTCAACACTCCTCTTGGCTGCGAACAACTGGGGAGGTGAGTCAGCTGTTGGTGGTACCATGAGTCAAAAGGCCGCACAAATTTATGTGTCAGACATTGGTAAAGTACGTTCTACCTGGTGCCTGCAGAGCGCGAAAACTGCCCAAATATGGAAATGCTCTGGCTGGCAGGGGTAGATGTGGTCACCTTTAATGAGCCTCCAGTATTTCGGTAAGATTGTGCAACGAAAAAGTTTCACAGAATGTTTATCATCATCAACAGCTGAAAGTTAAGTATCTACTGATAGTAAAGACCAGCCTTTCTACATCTTGCTGTCTTGTTGCGACCAAGATCAGAAGATTGTATGAGTGAATATATCTTGGGCTTGGATTTGGGGACGGATCATCAGTAAACTGAGAAACGGCCTTTTAAGACCTCAAGGGGTCACAAACAATGCCACTTGGCTGGGCTCTGGTGGCGATGCCTAGAATTATGCATGCATTTCAGATGTTAATTAGGGATTTTTGAAAACAAAGAGAGCCGTAAAGTGCAAACTCGGCCCATTCGGTTTGTTCATTGCACCCAGGCTGGGTTCATTGTAAGGGGTAGCAAACATTTGATATATTTGTCGTGCCAAAGTAACTGTTCGCCTTCCTCGCCTCAGGCGGTGCCGCGAAAGATCAGGGTGGCGAGGCACATCAAAGCGCCACGTTGAGGCGAAACATCAGAAGCGAATCCATCTTACCCCTTCATTCCAAACTGAGCTGGAGCGTTAAAAACCACCACCATGCGTGCGCGGTGGTTTTTTTTTCACTTAAGAAGGGAGGAAGAAGCAGGCGTGGACACAACGCCCTCGAAGCTTTGCTTTCTGGTAGAAGCTCTGCGCCTCCATTTCG